AACCCGAGAGTCTTCTGCTTGCAGATGAAGGGCGAATTCCCTGGGCCATCAGTGTTCAACTTTGATCACCTAAAGTACAACCAGTTGCCCAAAGCAATAGGGGAACGATCCCTTATAAAGGACACAAGATTGGACAGGTGGGAGGAAGGCGAAAAGGTCATGGACAGCATAGTCAGCCATAAGTACTTCAAGAAGGGAAAGGAGCTCTGTTTCCTGGTCCACTGGGAAGGGTAAAACTCAAGCCACAACAAATGGTTGTCCGCCCCACCGTCTATGCAATGCGCCAAGACTGGTTGCACAATACAAGGAACAATTTGGCCTCTGAATACGCGCCCACTGTATGCCCCAACGAGAACACTGCCTCTCTTGGATATACATACCCCGCACCATATTATACCCACCATATATTGTTGATAAAATGGCTGAACCAGGAAATGAACCTAGGACCTCTGACTTGGATCATCTAGTGCTCTAACCACTGAGCTATTCTGCCTTGGTGCTGGGATTCCCAACTCCAACATATATATAGCCTATCTTATTTCCAGAATAGCCGTGCTGCACTAGTATCTACCCTCGATCTCCTTACGCTGCACCCCATATGGGTAGAGGCACGTGACTCCACCTCCATCAAGATGGTGATGTTTGGTTACCTTAAGCCTCCTCTCCTTCTCCCAACTCATCCCCGAGCAGCTTGTTGGTCACCAGTGAGCTTCCTGGTAAGCGAGAGTGTTCTATCTCCTGAGTTGCTTGGGAAATAGCAACGCTTGGAAGAAAATACTGAAATGGGCCCACTAGTTCCCACCAGCTACAGCCAATGTTTTCTGGCAGTGGACTTTGCAGACATGCTCGACAGAGGCATCCACTGGGTCACCCTGGGATTGCGACCAATGGAAACAACCACTATGTTGAACACAGAAAACACAGATGGGAGCCGCAGAAGGCTAGGGGCACAGATGGGAGGCAAAAAGCCCAGTAGGTCACATTGATCTGATGCTATATACTATGCATCACAGAGTAATGTCACATCCTTTGTCCGAACCAAGCACACACAAAATCCACACATCAACACACTACCCTCCGAGTCCTAGCAGACAAGCGTTTCAAGGGCCCAGCGGAGGTCATCTGCCCCTTGAATGTCCACGCCGATGGAACGATCGAGCATGGGCCCAAGTGGGCCTACAAGAGGACTTTCTTCGATTCTAAATTCTGTTGGCGTCTCTGCATACCGACCGCGACCGACCAAAGGAATTTGCCGTGGTACCTCCGCTGACCCAAAGACAGAGAGATACGAGGGGAGATAGACAACAAGGGGATGAGCTACGCAATCAATGCAGCACTTTGAGAGCGGATGAGCATGGACCTCACCAAGACAGAGCAGTGCGTCTGTGCCATCTACGTTTCCGATCCAACCCTGGGACGGCAGGCGTACCCGGCGTCCAAGCTGAACCTGAAAGAACTCGACTGGTCTTGGCACAGCACTCGCCAAGCTAAACAGATGATCATGGTCTGGAGGCGCGCCATGCTAGATGCCCTGGGGTACCTCAACTGGGTACAGCTACACTGGGACAACTGGCAGAGTCGGGACAGAATCAGCAATTGGGTGATCCAGAGAGTGGAAGCTTTTGATTTCCACTAATGGGGAAAGAAAGGCATGTTCCTAGTCCCATTGAGGGACGCCGTTTATTCAAATTTCCCTTTTTGGATTGAGAAGGACATCCCAATCGGCTATGCGTGGTCAGAAGCAGAGGGGAGACTGCCATCCTTACTCCAACTTTACCCATGGCTGATTGCCTCGGTGGACAACTACTTCCCCCCATTGCTCACCATGTGTGTTTTGCAAATTGCGCCCATCGCCTGACTCACTTGTTGGCATCCCTGGTTTGAATGTCTCGACGATTGAAGAGACACGAAGAACCTGCACCCACAAACCAGTAGCAAGGACGTCCACAATTGTGGATTTTGAGGGTTGGTATCGGCGGAATGTTTCTTTGAAGAGCCTCAAGCGCCAGTGCGACAACCTCTGGGCAACGCTTGGGCCACCCCCTGTCTACCTAGGATGGAAGGGCCCGCAGAGCAGCTCCACGGCGGCTGCAAGACGAGGGGCGAGGGGGATAAGACTCGGACGGCTCAGACAACTCAGGTAACAAAGCGGGTTCATGGGCCACAAATAGGCCCTTCCTTCAGGAGCATTATGGGATGTACCTCGCCCCCGGTCTAGGCCAGATTGTGGACCCTTTCACCAGGCTAATCGTGGCAGGACAAGACAAAGCTGAGCTCTCCCAGGTACAGTGGAAGCAGAAGTTGGAGCAAGCCCCGATAGCGCCCGCGTTGGAGTTTGTTGATCTCAAAGAAGGAGGAGAAGACCTGGAAGCTTTTGAGGAATGGGCGGATCGTGCACTCACTCAGCAGGCTCCTACCCCTTGTTTGGAGGATGTGGAGATGAGCCCAGTAGTCACCAGGCAGGCAGAGAACACTGGACGCCGAGCATGGGAAGAGGACGAAGAGGTGTTGTGGAGCGACAACAAGCTCCTGATGGACATGGACTCAGGGAACGTCCCGGCGGCACCGTACCGTCCTCCCGAGCCCGAGCCCCTCCTCAGAGCAGGCACCAGTCAGACCACGCCCGCTAAAGTGCAGCCGGGATCAGTCGGAGAGGAGCGGAGCAGCGAAGCCAGAGCTCAAAAGGGAACCTCCACTTTGTGGGCTGAGAAGATGCAAGAGCCCCCTAGCACTCCCACTCCAGAGACACTGAGGATCCCAGCATCTTTCAAAGGCAAGGCAAGAGAGTCAGTCCCACTGCTCCAGAGACTCGGGACCTCAAGTAGCAATCATTGCTCAGCAACAGGCACCAGCTGCACCTACTCCCCGGCCCGCACGCAAAGAGGTTGCTCTCCGTCATGCTTCTGGTGGGATCATTCTCCAGCTCGCACCCCACGGGAACGTTCCCCCCTGCGCGCTACGCAAGACTGTTCACCCGGTTGTGCGCCACATGACCGCTTTCCAATCCGTGCCCTGCGAGACTGATCCCCCGTCTGTGCACAACAAGACCAACCACAGGAGACCCTGCAAGCCCTGCTAGCAGACTGGCTGAGCTCAAGAAAGGAAAGCCCAAGTCAACGATGGAACCGGAGCAACGAAGGCTGGGCTGTCAACCACCGAGATCGGGCTGCAACCACCCACCACAATGAGTGGCTCAACCTTGTCCGCTTAGCAAAGCGCATTGTAACTGGCCACACTTTCCGTTGCGTCGAGCAAACACAACTGGATATGTGGAGGGACCGCTGGGTGCAGGACGCAGTACTTATACTCCCAGAAAAGTTTGCTGAGGTCAAATTCCACCTCTGGGCCGCTACCATGGACTTACGATTGCCGACTGAGCTCTTGAACCTTGCAATAGAGCGTTGTGTTCCCTTCTGTCTCAGCCTCCCGCAAGATAAGTTCACAAACTACAAGGACAAGAGCTCCAGCCACTCCCTAGCTAGCCAAGCTATGCTGAAGAGGGAATATGACAATCCCGCCAATCGGCTGTGGGTTAAGTGGAATCCTAGCCCAGATATCTACACCTGCAACTACTTAGTGATGATTGCTTCTTTGCTAGCCAAGCTACATGCGCACAGATTCATTGCCTAAGGAGGGGTCATTGCTTGGATTGCACACAAGTTCGGGCAGTGGCTGGCTAGCTCAGTTCTGAGTGACTTCATGAGTGGGCCTTCCGTTCGCATCACTCTGTGCAGAAACGGGGAGTGGGATATCCTAGGGCCACAGGCTACCAGAACCATGATGGAACGGGCATCCTCCGCCAAGTGCGCCGGTCTCCTGGGAACTTCCAAGAGTATGGATAGGGATGGCCTGCTCTACCAGGTTTTCCCCTCTTCCGAGTGGCTGTGGGAAGACTTTCCATCATACAACAGGGAGATCACTCAAGAGGTAGACGCATACCTGATACGCGTGGCCAACAGGCTCTTGGGCATTGACGACCAAGGAGGACCGGCTCCAGTTAGGGTCTCCCGACATACGTGTACCCAGTTCCGCAGCCGCGCTAAACAGAAAGCGAGATTGAGCCGCCAGGACTCTGACGTGGACTTGGGAGCCAAGGAAAGCGACTACGAGGCCTTCCACGTGGAGTTGAGCAGGATTTGGGATCAGAGCTGGAACGGAATTGCCTTGCACGCTATGAACTTGAGGAATAAGGGAGAAGAACATGCACGTCCGAGATTGGGGGGCTCTGTGACATGGACAATTGAATTGCATATAATCTCATACACACGCCTAGATATAGTATATACGTGTATATTGCCGTAGATGATCCGGCTGCCATCCTACATCTGATGGGTGGCCACAACAATAACATACTTACTTCTTGCATCCTGACCGTGACACCACCCTCGTACGACTCCCTTTTGCAACGTCGAACATACTCGACTGGTGCCTGGCATACCAGGCTTAATCAGACGTGGATTAGACTCCTTAATAATTAGAGACCTCCACCAAGTGGAGAGCCTCTGACTGGTATCCACGCTTGAGTTGCTCAAGCTTTGGTACCAGGTCGTAATTATTACATTTTACCTAATCCAATTCCATTCGCAATTCTGGATTCCGCTACATCTGTCTAGTTGGAAAAAGCCCTACACATTACAGATGAGTTTAAGCAGGTTCAGACCAGTCCAGATTTTGTTACCTCTAGCTGAAACCTGAACCAGACAATCAGTTCAGTCCAGTTTTGGGTGTCTTGGCAATCTGGACCTGGGGTCTGGTTCAGGTTCAAACCAGGTTCACTCAGGTTCTGAACTGGACCACAGCAACACTGCACACAGGTGAGCTGCTAGACACTCTTCCCAGTGCTCAACCACTTGCCTTACAAATTACAGACTGTCACAGAGAGTTGTAGATACTTGTAGAGTGTTCTAGATATATTCCTAGAATACTATGTAAGCTAGGAGGTAATGGGCAGTAGACTCTTCAGAGTTGATAACCCAATGCCTCATCACACGCAACACAGCTAACAGTGAAAAATGTCCACAGGCATATGGATGAACTTGGGAGGTTAAGACGAGTTACAACTTGACTTGCTCTAGTTACCTTGAATAATCAGACTAACTCACCCAGCTTCTCAGTGCTAACTCTCACCCAATTCCTCAGTGCCAATTCAAACGGACGGCAACACCGACTCAGTCTAATCAAGACCCGTTATTTGGGAACAACGCGATCATTCCGAAAACTGATATATCCATGCATAACAGTGACTAATATTGTTCTAATAGTAAAGGAAGGTAAACGATGCCTAGGTCCGTGGATTGAACGTTCATATGCGTAGCAAGATAGAAATGAGGTAAGCTGTCCATGTTCTAAGCCGTGCTCAGAAGCGCTCGATCAATCGCAGCATTGATGGCAGATTTTCTCGAAGTCAAATCCATTCCAAAGCGAGCCTCCAAGCGTCTGCGAATCTCTCGTTTGGTGATTGAATTGAGATCTGCTCCACGAAGAGCGTCTTGAACAGCTTGGTGGAGCTCAGCCTCGGAAGGAGATTCATCCCCACTGATGCCATGCACATCGAGGTAATTCGTGAGCGGCCGAGAGTCGGGCATCATCGGCTGGACGTGGTAGAGGGATTGGGGAGTGTTCCTGCCCGATTGATAGCCTGGCAGAGGGAGAGGTGCATAGCCACCGGCTTGAGATGGGGCAGGCGAGTAACTGCGAGGTTCATATGTTGTTTCTCGACCGTAGAGCGACGCCGTGTGCGACTCGGCATAATGACTGCGCAATTTGGGAGGTGGTGCCCATGACCCAATGCTATGGTTCGACTCCTTGTCCCAAAGCTCATTTTCCTGCGACATCGTTAGCAGTGGTTAGAAACCAGGTTCCGGCTGCCTACATAGTCGTTCCATGACTTGAGAGGTATCACTCGGGGATCAAATTTGCCTTCGTCCTGCACCGATTAGATCAGCACAGGGCCGTACGAAGGCAGTCAAGAACATTACATGAACGATCATCTTCTTTCCTGATTCTCCGAGCACGACACGAGTCTGACCCCAGGAGAAGTCATCCATCCGCCAGAAAGAGTAGAGCGGCAGCATGAACGAGAACACTGGGATGGCGAGGACATAAAAGACCATCCATCCTATCATATCCCATTTACGTCGGAGAACGAATACTAACGCTTGGATAGCATAGATGGCGATGATCATCACCAGTGAGATAGTCTGGATTTGCTGGTGCTCAGCCGCCACCGTGTACACGAGATAAACGAGCTTTGTGAGGGAAGGTCAGAGGAGAGAAGCGACACGAGTTGGCTGCTTACATAGGCAACAGTGACTGGCTGTGTGAGCGTAGAAACCAAATCGATCATCACTATGAAACGCATCGAGAAACAACAGAAACCGCAGAGCTGCTCCAGAAACACCAGTTCTCCCAGGTTGTGCACTGTCGAGTTGATCCATCGGCGACGCTGAGACAACAAAACCTGCCAATCGTCTGGGGCGACCGTGAACGCATGAGCATCCCGCACGAATTGGGTTTTGAAGGTTGGGAAGTGCTTCAACAGCAGAGTGGTAAGGTATCGATCTTCTCCAAGATGCAGCAGGTTTTTCATGTGCAGGGTGTCCACGCGGTTTTCTTGATACTCTTGAATCAGCTGGTTCGATATGAGCAATGGCTTGTGGGTGTCTGGCGTGCGGAGTCGATAGAGCGTGAAGCATCCGGGCAAGCAAGTGACAGATCCGAACAGACTCTCGAAGGCTTTGGCCATGTTGTGAGAGATGAAATATTCATAGACTTGCATCATCGTGATGATCGACTGTTTCGCGTTGGCCAGATGCGTTTCTCCACAAACACCTAACAGCTTCTTGTCGTGTATCATCCTGTTTTTCGTGTGAAGAAACATCCCAGAAACATTGCAAAGCACTCACGACGACACTAAGCGATTCACGGAGAACTGATCCACGGTCGTATCGGCATCAACCATGAACAGATATTCATAGAAAGTCGGGTTGACACCAATCACGTTTTTGATCTGATGATACATCTCCAGCTCGAGGGGATTCATAGGCGAGTTGAAGTGGACCTTGTTGAGGAAATGCATCAAAAGCATCTGCGAGTCTCGCTTTCCGCGATTACCCGGCCGCGATCTCTCCGTCGGTTTCCCGATCTTGGCCACGACAAGGTACGGGACCACGTGACCTTTGCACTCGTAAAGACCCGAATATACTTTGCCCATGTTGTGCTGCTTTGCGCCTTCACCGAGGGATAGGAAACTGAGAGGCTCCGGGTCCAGGTTCGGGTCAGCACCTAGAATGTCGAGGACAATGCGAGGGGTGGGTCTGTCGTTTCCGGAACCGACGATCATTCCATCGCAAATAACGACCAGAAGTTTGCGCTTGTCGTCGTACTTCAGCTCGGCGAGCGAGTCAATTGTTCGACGTAGAGAAGAATCGCCTTCCGTATAGCAAGGCACCTGGCAGATCACAAACTTGTCGTGATCCTCAGGGGCTCGGACGCTGGCGAGACTGATCGAGGCTAAGAACTTGAAGCCGATAACCGAAACCATGATGATGGACAGAATGAGCAGGATGTATGTCGAAAAGACACATTTTGCAGAATCTCGAGCATCGACTTTCGCAACGAGGAAGAGATTGCGTAGGCAAACTCTCTGCCGGTCAAGCTGAGCCGATGTCAACCCGTTGTTGACGAGGTTGTCCACGTCATGGGTGATATCTCCACCGGCCTTGAGCTTGAACAGAGACACGAGAGAGTCCGCCAGAAAGTTGGTGTTGATGCCACCAGGAGGGGCCTGTCCATAGGGAGCTTGTAGACCACGAGGGTTTTGGACGTAGTCGGATAGGTCGTATACCATCCCGTTGTAGACCGCAATTGAACTACCGGCGTTGGCCTTGCTCGCAATCTCCTTGGGAGTCAACCCGACGAACCCACGACGAGCCATCCATCGCATCTGCACCATGCTCTCGAAGTACCAGTCTGGCCGCGAGTCGTTGGTAAAGAACCGGAAATCATGGTATTGCTTGTTTTGGTCGGTGTTATTCGTGGAGGAAAGCACGACGTAGGGGCTGACACTACCGTCTATACCATTGCAGAGGGCGCTGACCTGCCAGGGGTATAAGATCGTGCGGTGAGAAATATTCGCACGGAGAGACTGACCTGTACGGGGAAAACACTATCAGCGCTGGTGCCTCCGTATGTTTTGAGGATAGTCTTCGAGGGAACAACAGAGACTGAGCGCTGATGCAGCTCCGTGATGGTATTGAGATCGAAAACCTCGCCGCGAATGGAAGTGTACACGTTATTGGCGTTCAGTATGTAGCTATGACTAGCCAATTCAGAAGAATTGAAGACATGCTCGGTTGGACAAATGAGTTTGCCCAAGAAGACGATCACAAAAGCTGTGCAGAGACAGACAAACCAGATGAGGAGGTTCAGAGCCAGTTTCTCCCGCCAGGCCTGGCGCACATCTTCACGTTTCATCCTGCCGAGGTATGAAAGACACGGATTTGGAACCCACCAGGTCAGAATCCAACAGAGAGTGACCCAGCGACGACGAGCACTCGATTCCTTCAGCACTTCCACCGTCTCGCCCTCCTGGATTTCACCAGCGAGTGCCTCTTTCTCGAGCAATGGGCCACCACGAGTCCCGCCCTTTGTATCGCCTCCAAACATGTTTCGTGATGGGGCATAGCTCTCGCTTCCAAAAGCGGATGCCGAGTCGTCAGCCGACGTATATCGGCTTCGGGCATCGAAGTCGGAGTCGGCTACACCACCACCGCGTAGCGATCCGCGCTCGTCGAAGCCGCCGTATTCGTCCTCGTAAAGGTCGGCCCGCTGAAACGGTGATGCATGCGAGACAAGTGGCAGTGCTGCCGAGGAGCCCTGAGGGCCAGCAGTCCCGTATGGATCACTGTAAGCGCCGCCAACAAATGGTGATGCCTCTCTGGAGTCGGTCATGGTCGCAGGGTAAGGCGCATAAGGATCGGAGATGGGATTGACGATCTCTCCTTCTCGTTCGCGATTGCGCTTCTGTTCATCGGTATCCCGGGCACGAAGCATATCCTCCAGACGGTGAAAGGCTCGTTGAGTGAGGAACACCTACAAAAGGCTCAAGCGGAGAAGCAATACGCGGTTGCCACACACCTTGTTGATCCCCAATACGACATCCGACTCAGCCAATCCAAAGGCTGCAGTAGTCCTCTCGATTCTCTCCCGATCCTCCCCATTTTGGAGGCCCTTTTCCGCCAGAATTGATCCATACCGCTCGCAAAATTCCTCAACGCCGACCTTCACTTCCCAGACTGCCACCGAGCCCTTCCCCACAGCGCTTGAGCCTGAGCAACGGACTGCGACCTGGGCGAGGCCGGCACTACGAACCTGACCCTTGACACTGCGGCCCTCGAGCTGATTCGGCATCTGTGCGTCATTCGGGTTGATGCAATACACATTCCAGGTTTGACACTCGGAGAGCGTCGCGAATAGGGTGTCTAAAGCCGCACGGAAAGCACCGGTGACAGCACTGGGACCGCCAGCCGATGGAGATCCGTCGCCGACGGCACCGGTTAGGTCACCGTCCTCCTCCTCAACAATGTCTGCTGCGAGGCCCGGAGACATTGGCCCGCGTCGTGTGGTATTTCGCCGACGAGTTGATGGAGCGCGCATTGGCTTGACGGGTTGTTGCGCAGCGACTATGGTCTCCTCATTTCGCGGATGGGCCTGGGTCGCGATAGCACGTGCGTTGAACAGACCTCGAACGAAAGGGTTCACACTGCCAGTTCCTGCTGTCCCGGTTGCGGTCGCCGCGCTTTCCGCTTCACCGCGAAGAAGTTGAACAAAGTCGGGGTTCAAGGCATCCAAATTACGCTCAAGGAAGCCTTCAGCCGAGTAAGTCACAGGTCCATTGAAGTGACTGATAGTAAAGGACGGAGCGGTGCCCATCCCGTTCGCGGAGCCGCCGGTGCTGGGAGCGCCGGTGCACTTGAAAGACGAGTGATTGCCCCAACGCTTCTGGAACGCCTCAATCATGGTGGCATCCGTCTTCTTTGGAGCTCGTCGTGTCTGATCGTCCATGATATGCAGCAAACCCCCCGGGCGATTCTGCAGCAAGCGCATACACTCACTATTGTCGAAGTACGGAATGGTGTGCGGCACGAATCGTGGGATGAGACCTTCAGCTGTGTATTCCGCAACATGGGCTTCGAAGAGTGCGTGCTGCGTGAAAGCATGCAACCGTTCGTTGGCAAAATTGATGCAGAACTGGTCCAGCGAATTGGAACGCGAAGACAGGTTTTGCGGACCGGGAAGATCAAACAGGCCGATAAAGGAGGCGAAATCCTCGCGGCACAGTCGCTGGTTGATATGCTCATTGAGCCAGGCAAAAAGCAGCCCATATAAGGTCTTCGCAAGGTCGTCTCGATTGTCGGCAGCACTATCTGGATCGAGAAACACTGTGCACAACTCCTTCTTGACCAGCTTCGTCTTGTACGAAAGTGTTTGCTCCAGGGCGCTCGCATGAACGCCCAGAAAGTCGGCAACGATTGCACAAACATCGGTGTTGCGAACCACTGCGGCATCTTCATCGCGATTGCGGTCAATCATGAACTCGAGATTGCCTAGGTGAAGGATCGCAGCGACAAGTTGACACGTTTGAGCCACATGTCGCTTTGATAAGCCGATGGCCTTGAGCGCTCCCTTAAGTTGCTCGAAGCGAATCGCATCATCGGTCGGTCGCTGGCTGGGGCCCATTCCCGCCCGTAGCTGGCCAACGTAACGATAGGTGCCCTTGTCGACAAGATGCAAATGCGCTCGTTCCTCAGCAGACGCGCCGGCAATGAGGTAGTAGAAGATGTGAAAATTTCGCTCCCCATTGGGGGCTCCGGAGACACGACCGCGTTCCAGATAATAATCCAGGGTCTTCACACCGACCAATCGCCCTCGTTCGCTGAACTGCAACTCGGTATATTTGCCGAAACGGGAGGCGTTGGGGTTGAATAAGGTGCGCGCATTCCCGAAGGATTCAAGAACAAACTCGGCAGCAGGTATCTGGGTACCGAGCTTCGCACCCTTTTTGCCGGCAGCGCTGACGCTGAGTTCAAGCAATGTCTTGATTGCGAGCCGCCGATTCTCCGATTTGCCGCTCGCCGTTTCACCGCTACCAAAAGCTCAATGTATGGAGCTGCTGGGAAAACAAGCTACACACCTGAAGAGAAGGCACTGATCCTGTGCAGTTCGCTTCATGTGATAATACGCATTATTCGCGAGTTGGAAGATGTGAGGTGGTAATGTCTGCTTGTCCTCGCTGGTATCACAATACTCAGCAGCATATTTTTGCAGAAAAGCGTCTGATGTTGAGGAGACATATTTATGTGGATTGAGCGCGACGAGGGCTGAGGTGCCAAGACCTGTATATATGATGTCGGCCATGAATCGCTCGCGGAGACAGGTGACAATGACGTCGTCCGAAGGAGTAGGGAGGTACGACAGGTCCTCAACCGTTTCGAGTTGGGCCATTGAGGTTTGACGACTCATGTCCGTGGCTCGTTGAGTATGGAGACGGATGGGGGGACAACCCACCCGTGGTGGGAGGTAAGGAAAGCTGGAACAGATTTTAATTCGTCAATGCTTCAGTGCAGAGTTGATGCTCACGGGAAATGAGGAAAGAGAGGGAGGCCCTGCGGTGGTCGCCAAGCGGTGGTAAGAGTAAGAAACGGATGACGACCTCCGTCACCACGTGAGTGGCGATGCTCCACAACACTGCCACAGATGGTTTGAGCACAAGGCTTTGGACTGTAGATACTGGACTGTGAGCGATGCAAACCTCTGCGATATCACTCATTTTTGCCAATGTCAACTCAAACATAGTGCTTGTGATGGACTTGAGTGATGACTGTTTCCCTCATGTTGTGTGATGGCCAATAAGTATGGGTTTGACAAATTTATGGGTTATGGGGTCTCTTTTTGGGGTAACATTGAGTATTTGAAGCAAAAAAGTCATGGGTTGGAGCAGACCACGTTGTCACAGTCTGACCATTTTAAATTGTTTTCCCACCAAGTACCATCTGTACTATCATTGACCCACATCTGCAATTGCACCCTGATCTGCAATCTGTGATAAACACACATTTCCTGGGCTTCCACATCCCTCAACGTGTCCCGGATGGACTCCCAGAGATTAATTTATAGCTGTTCAATGCTCCTGTAGAATATGTACATTCCATATTTTGAAATAATTACACCCGAGACCATAAACCTACTTTCAGAACACTTCTTTGCTTATCTTGACTCAGAGATTTCGGATTTTGATGTGGAAAAAAGCTTACACCCTTAGATTTGCTACTGGTAACACATGGTTGATATATCCTGAGTCCAGTCCTCACAGTTCATGAGAACAGAGCATGCGTGACAGAGGCCATCAATTTTCAAGTCCCGCGTGTGTCATGATTCAATCATTTTTCACAATCATTCCATTGATCACCTTATCTTATCATTGACATGGGACTATCTTATCACGGATCACGGCACCACACGGTCTGGGTTTAGGGTTCAAGAGGGTTATCTGTACAAGAGGTCGCATGGCATGTGCTCCAGAAGACTATACTACAACCCATGACCAAAGCTCCACACGGTACATAGTCAGATGACTCGTTTGATGTAGATAAGACTCAGACTGGACTTAGTATAAATACAGTAGCCATTGTGTTGTATTCTCCAGTCTTGGAATTGACTTGTCTTTTTGATCATATTCTGTGTTGATTGTCACAGCATGCAATAACTGAGACCACCTCCAGTCAGGCCGCATCATTGCCGAGACGTGCTGGATTGCATCAAAGTCTGACCCTGTATGACAAGCGATTGCAAAAGGGGGGTCAGCCCCGCCAAAAAAAGTGATCATTTTGGCAACTGTGTGGCTTCATCCTCTGCCCACAGATAACGAGTAAATTTTGTTGAGCACTGGGGAGAGCGTCTAGCAGCTCACCTGTGTGAGTGAGAGCTTAGTGTGGGCACTATGCGGGAGTAGTCAAGAGACTTGTATTAAAGGGTAATAGAGCCCTCCTTATATATGATACAGGGGGCTGTTTGTGTCTATTTGGGACGAGTCGATATGACTCTAGATGACACGTTATGGAGTCATAGATGTGTATCACGACATCCATCTTGACAGATGATATTTGATCAACACTCCCCCACGCTGAAAACCACGGGATAGTGTTTGAAAGCGAATCTTCATCGGCCATTCCTTCAGGATGAGTTGAACTCAAGTCCTAGTTGAGATCTGAACTTCTCGAACTTGACGCATCCTAGGTTCTTGGTGAACATATCTGCAGGATTCTCACTGCCCGGAATAAAGAACAGTTCAACCTCTTCTTCCTCGACTCGCTCACAAATGTAGTGATAGCGGATGTCCATGTGTTTCATCCTGCGGTCTCGGTAGGCATTGCTGCCACTGAAGAGTGCACCCTGATTGTCACCACAAATGGGTACTGGGATGGTGAGCTTGAACTGGAGTTCCAAAAGGACGCTCTTCAGCCACATCACCTGGCGACTACAATCTGAGATCGCCATGTACTCTGCTTCGGTCGAAGACTGCGCGACAGTGCGCTGAAGTCTAGACTGCCAGCAAATAATCCCGTCTGCCAATTTCGTGAAGAAACCAGTGGTAGACCTCCTCTTGATCGGATCAGCAGCCCAGTCTGAATCGCTAAATGCAATTAGCCCTCTATCTGTCGCACCATTGAAAATGAGCGAATAATTCCTAGTACCAGCCAAATAGCGGCAGATATACAGCGCTTTATGGAGGTGGTCTTGGGACGAATTAGCGGCAAATTGTGACAATTTGGTCACAGCAAATGCAATGTCAGGACGTGTGCCTAGCATGATGAAGAGAAGAGATCCAATTACTGATTGGAATTTTTTCCTGAGCTCAGGATCGACTTCATCCTCGTTTGGCATTGGAACATATCCAGCCGGTAGAGGGGTCGCTGCGAACTTGGCGTTCTGCATCCCAAAGCGCTCTAGTACCTTGTCGAGATAGGGAGTCTGATCAATCTTGATCGAAGATCCTACTCTACTGAGGCGTACGCGCAAGAACTCTGGAGTATCTTCAGAATTGCGGCATTCCCATTGCTTGTTGAACTCAGCCTTGAGAAAGGCGAGGAGCTTCTTGTTCTTAGAGAAGAACAGTGCATCATCCACATAGACTATTATGACGGCTATGCTGCCATCAGAGTCCTTGTAGAAGAACACGCCGGCATCCGATGTTAGTCGGATCCAGCCCATGGCTTTCGTGGACTTGGTCAGCGCTTTCCACCATGCTAAAGCAGCTTGTTTGAGTCCATAGATTGCCTTGTGCAAGCGCATGACTTTGCGCTCTTGGCCTCTCGCCACAAAGCCTTCGGGTTGTTCCATGTAGACCTCTTCGTCAAGCTCTCCATAGAGAAAAGCCTTACTGACGTCGAGTCCAGACCAATGCCAATCATTTAGCGCTGCAAGCGCCATGACCAACCGGAACGTCTCATACCTGACGACAGGAGAGAATATCTCGTCATAGTCAACACCTTCGACTTGACTGAAACCCTTGGCAACTAGGCGGGCACGTTTTCGGCCATCAGATTTTTGGTCAAAGACCCAGCGACATCTGATAACCTTCCGTCCTTTCAGACGGTCCACAAGGGAATAGACCTTGCGCTGACGAAGTGCCTCTAACTTGTCGCGGCAAGCATCAATCCAACCTTTCTGTTGTTCAGAAGGCAACCGCTTGATATCGCGGAACGTCCAATCGCGAATTTTGGACGTATCAGGTAGGTTCTCATTTGGAACTGCTTTTGACAGCAGCGCCGTGATGAGCTCTACTCCCCCTTCCCGGCATAGCTTCTCCATGCGTGCATCCTCGTCTAGATCATCAGAAGCACCTGCGTTTGAGGAATCTGGTTGCGAGCTACGGCCGGGAACCCCTGCATCAGCACCGGTTGATGGTTGAGATTGGGAGCTACCCTTATCTTCACCAACATACCGCTTCCATCCTCTGCTGTTCTGAATATCACGGACTATGTCCGTAGGGTTACGCTTTTCCCCATAGACGTTTCCTGGACGTGTAGGCACATTCCGCTGGCGTGAAGACCTTCGAGGCTCGGGAGCTGGTGAAGCTTCCCGACTTGGTCGTGGAATTCTACTTCTACGAGTCCTCTGAGGTTCATCCCGACGCTCTGGCGGTGGGTCCTGACAATTATGACCGTCGTCACCATCATCATTTCCTTGTACGGGAGGTGGTGGAGCCGGATCAGATGGCATGGGGAACGGAAAAGGATTATCTCCATATAGCCAATCTTCTCCGTCTACCTGTGGTGGATCTTGTGGATTCACTGGGTCATCACGTTCTGGAAATTCCTCTCCAACAGGAACGTGGGGTGGTCGATTGCTGTCAGGACAGCGGGGGAACAACTCCTCATCGAACAATGCCTTGGTGGTGACAAACGTGGAATTGTTTGTGCGCATGAATAAAAATCCTTTCACACCATCAGGAATGCCCAAGTAGGTCATTGTCATAGTTCGGCCACTTTTTCATCTTATCACCAACGATCTTATCTTATCTTGGCACAACTTATCTTATCACGGATCACGGCATCAGACGGTCCGGGCTAGGGGAACAGGGGTCATCTTTATCAATTCGAGGCTGCGCAACATATGCTCCGGAAGGTTCTACTACAACCCATGACCAGCGTTCCATGTGGTACATAGCCCTATGACTCATTAGTTGTAGATATGACTCGGACTGGATTTGGGTATAAATACTGTAGCTACTTGGTTGTATTCTCCAGTCTTCGAATTCACTTCTCTTTTCGACTTTGTTTTTGGGTTGATTGTCACATAATTCGAAGACTCCCCTCATACCCTCGTACCTCTTACCTCCTACCCTGCATCACCGCACCACTACGCCCGCTATATCCTCTTCATCCTTATCACCCCACTTACCCTTTCACCGAATCATCTAGTCGTCCTCTGCGATCGCAGTGAAGGGTTCATATTGAGCAAACAGCACCAGGCCACGGGTAACGTTGAGCCCAACCCAAGCCTTACGGTAGCTACAAGGAGTGCTGCGGAGACCTTCGGGAAAACGCACCTCGGGATCATCAGACACGTGAAGAGCTAGGCCCGGGATCTTTTTGCTAGCAAAAGAACCCTCCCTCAAGTGCTTGTACAGCACACAAATCCACCATTTCGTTCCGATTCCCATCGTCGTCTGGGAGTCCGTCTCCTCCTCCCATCCTACCATCGTCGCCTGATCTGGCGCATCAAAACCAACCCGGGCCCTCCAACCCCTACCTCGCCCTCCCGCCGCCTGAAGACAAGATCCCCGACCTTGGCGAGTTACCCTCCAAACAACCACCCTTGCCCCCATCTACCACACCTGCTCCTACCATGTCAGGACATCACCGCATCACCCTCGCTGCCAATCCCCCCTACTTCGATGGCAACAAGTCCAAGTACCTGGGCTTTGTGGACGCGTGCACCACTTACATCAGTGCCTATCGGTCAGAGTTCTCGCTGGACAAAACAAAAATCCTCTTCGTCCTGTCCTACCTCCGTAATGAGAGTGGCACAAGCTGCACCGCCTCGAGATGGGCGATGAACTGGAAGCAACACAACTTCGAGGGCTTCCAAGGACTAAAGGCGGGAGTCACCACGACAAGCTTCTTGGAGGAGCTCCAGAGGGCCTTTGGGGATTCTAACGCAGAGCAAGTCGCTGCCGCCCAACTCATGGCCCTTCGCCAGGGCAGATAGTCCTTTGCGGACTACATCTCCGACTTCGAAATGCTGGCTGCAGACGCGGGGTACAACATGGTCACCTCCACGGACAGCAAGGGCGAGTACAAGAAGGGGGAACAGGACAATATCCTCATCGAGTTCCTCGAGCGCGGACTCAGCAGCGAAATTGCAAGCCGCCTCTACAACACCGGCATTCCACTGCCCAAGGCATATGGTGCCTTCAAGAACTGGTGTGTCAACATCGAGGCCAATGCTTTGCGCGATCAGCTGCGTAAGGCATCCTATGCGCACTCAACTCTGTGGCCACCCCCCCAATTCCGCCCTCAGGCTGCACCATCAGCACCTGCACCTGCTCCGGCCCGACCAGCGGCCAATGAACCGGTTCCAATGGAAATCGATCGCACCCATGCCCGTGGCGGCAATATCATCTGCTACAACTGTCAGCAGCCCGGGCACATTGCGCGGAACTGCCCGGAACCCAGGAAGAAGCGCACGTTCTCCAATCGGGCCACAATGCTAGAAGAGATTGAGAACGGGGACAAGGATAACGAGTTCCTCAAGGAGATCGCTGAGAAGCTGCGTGAGAAGGGTTTTTGAAGCGCTCCACTCCTCTAGCCAAGGAGGTGGAGCGTCCGGACTATGGACGTTTTTCTGTACTTGTTTCGATTAAAGATATGAGCGATTCTCCTCATACATACACGATCTCAGACTCCCTATGTACTAATATTCATGATTTTCTTGTCGCTGATATGGAGAAGGAACGACAAAGGAAAATAGCTTTAAATAGAGAGTATTTACAGAGTAAAAAGGATCAGAAAGCTGCAGATAAATTAATTTTGGACTCCTACGTATTTATGGCTCGTGGAGAAGGAACCACGTCAACAAAGACCGAAAAGGGGAGCATCGCTCCAGAGGCTCAATCCTTGAAAAGGGAGGAAGCGCCCAAGGAATCTGCCGAAATAAGGGTTCCAGAAACACCCAAACGCACAAGGGTGCCAGATGCTGTTCAAAGGAAATTGGCGGCTGAGAGACAGAAGGGCCCGCAGCCCAGCAGACTGGCGCAGGAACTGCGCAACTACCAGGCCAAAAGGAAGAGACATTCAATGGATGTGTACGTCCAGATCATGGGCCTGGACTCAGGAAAGACACGCGGAGTCAAGGCGCTACTCGATAGTGGCTGTAGCACCTGCTGCATTGATACCGACTACGCGCGGGCAGAGAAGCTGGATATCCAAGAACTCCCCCAACCCATTGTGGCTCGTAACGCTGATAACACCGAGAACGTCAGCGGTCGGATCACACATTATGTCGACCTAAGGATGAGAATTGGTCCTCATGTGGAGACACGCACGTTCCTTCTGACGTGCCTAGGGAAAGCTCGGATCTTCATTGGTCTTGATTGGCTGACGGAACACAACCCCGAGGTGGATTGGCAGGGGCAGACGATGAGGTTCAGTCAATGCCCAGAGCGGTGTCACATGAGAGGTCACGAGGAGCATCAAGCGATGATCAATATCGATGCAATCGACCTGGACATGGACACACCAGACCTGGAAGAGGGAGAATCAATCCTGTTGATCAACTTTGGGAAGGAGGTGGATCTACGGCTGAAGGAAACACCGGCGCAGAAATTCGCAGAAGAAGCAGAAAAAGAGAAGGAGAGAATGACCAAGGGGAAGATTCCGGATCAATATCGGGAATTTGTCAAAGTATTCGCCAAGGAATTGTTCGACTCACTGCCAGATCGACGGGCATGGGATCACGCAATCGAGCTCAAACCTGGTTCCAAAGCAGCGGACTGTAAGGTGTACCCATTATCACGAAACAAACAGGTCAAACTCGACGAGTTCTTACAAGAGAACCTGACCAGTGGACGGATCAGACCATCAAAATCACCCATGGCATCGGCATTCTTCTTTGTAAAGAAGAAGGATGGCTCCCTACGCCCCGTCCAAGACTATCGGAAGCTGAATGAGATGACAATTCGAAATCGATACCCGCTGCCGCTGATATCCGAACTAGTCCATAATCTATGCAGCGCCAAGTTCTTCACAAAGCTTGACATCCGCTGGGGGTACAACAACGTACGGATCAAAGAGGGCGATGAGTGGAAGGCTGCGTTCCGCACCAACTGCGGACTGTACAAGCCCTTGGTCATGTTCTTTGGTCTCACAAATTCCCCGGCAACCTTTCAAAACATGATGAACGACATACTCCGAGAACTGATCAATGAGGGCCACGTGGTAGTTTATCTTGATGACATACTGATCTTCACAGAAACCTTGAACGAACATCGGCGGATCACAAAGCAAGTACTCGAATTGCTCCAAAAACACAAGTTGTACCTGAAACCCGAAAAGTGCGAGTTCGAACGCACGGGAATTGAATATTTGGGTGTAATTATTGGACACAATTCAATGCGGATGGACCCAGTCAAGATCAAAGGCGTGATGGAATGGCCAGAACCAAAGAGCGTCAAACAGGTCCAAGCCTTCCTCGGATTCACAAACTTCTATTGGCGCTTTGTCCGGGGATATGCGGAGGTTGCCAAGCCATTGACACGGCTGACGGGGAAGGCAGGATGGTCATGGGGTACGGAGGAACATGCGGTATTCGATGGATTGAAGAAGAGAATCGCGGAGGATGCAGTCCTAGCACTGCCAAATGACACTGGCCAATATCGTCTGGAAGCCGATGCTTCGGAAGGGGCAACAGGATCAGTTTTGAGCCAAAACCAAGACGGCATTTGGCGCCCAATCGCATTTATTTCGCACGCATTGACCGAAACCGAGCGAAATTATGAGATCTACAACAAAGAAATGCTGGCAATCATGTTATCGCTCGACGAATGGAGACAGCTGCTCCTGGGAGCCACGGAAACATTCGAGATCTTCACTGATTATCAGAATCTTGAATACTTCCGGAAGCCGCAGAAGCTCAATCAACGGCAAGCACGATGGATCACGGAGTTGGCAGAGTTTGATTTCACTTTACGACACCGACCCGGCGCACTCAACCGCAAGGCGGATCTCCTGTCTCGACAAGCAGATCACGATCAGGGCAAGAACGACAACAAGGACGTCACGCTACTGAAGCCCGAGTTCTTCCAATCACAAGAAGTCACATTCGAGGGACAGGATCAGCAGCTAATCGATGAAATCAAGGCCATTTGATCGATTGATGGAAGCGTCAAGGCAGCCTTGGAGAAGTCACTTGTTGGATGGAAGAAGGAAGAGGGGCTTATCACGTATCATCGGAAGCTCTATGTACCAAGAGACGAGGAGTTGCAGGACAAGATCATCGGACTACACCACGACACCCCTTTGGTCGGACACGCTGGGACCAACCAAACGCAGGAGATGGTGGAAAGGAACTACTGGTGGCCAAGGATGGGAAACCAAATCCGGAAATACATCCAGACGTGCGAGGCATGCCAGCGGACCAAGACCAGAAGAGCAAGGACAGGGAGTTTACACCCGCATGCAGTTCCAAATGCGCTGTGTGAAATCATCTCCATGGATCAGATTGGACCCTTGCCGGTCAGTAACAGGTATGACGCAATTCATGTGTGGTGTGACACCTTCACCAAAATGATCCATGTCAAACCAATTAGTACTGACATCAGCAGCAAAGGAGTGGCACGATTAACCAGAGACCGAGTCTTCCGCTACCACGGGATCCCTCGCAAGATCATCACCGACAGGGATTCGCGTTATATCAAGGGCTTCATGAGGGAGACGAATCGGATGTTGGGCATGGAAATGAATCCGGGGACCGCATATCACCCAATCACGGATGGGCAGACAGAACGCATGAATCAGGAGATTGAGCATTATCTCCGCATCTACGTCAACTACCATCAGATGGACTGGTCGGAGTGGCTAGGGATGGCAGAATTTGCATATAATGATAAAATGAACACATCTACCAAAATATTGCCATTCTATGTGAATCATGGATATCACCCATGGAAGGGAGTGGAGCAACGGATGGAGTTGAGGAACGAGTCGGCGGAGGAATTTGTAAAAAGAATCAAAGAAATACAAGACGAAGCAAAAGCAGCACTAGAAAAAGCAAATGAAAAAATGAAAAAATACTACGATAAACAAAGAAAAGAAGTTCCGGAATTGAAGGTTGGGATGAAGGTGTACATAGAAGGGGACAATATCGAGACGGACAGGCCTTCGAAGAAGATGAGCGACAAGAGATTGGGGCCATACGAGATACTGGAGAAGGTTGGAGTGGCTGCATGGAAGCTGGATTTGCCGGATATGGACCGAAGACACCCGGTGTTCAACAAGTCACTGTTGACACCTTATCATGAACCACCCCCCCATCGCCAAGAGAAGAGACCCGTAGCCAAGATGATCGGAGGAGCAGAGGAGTGGGAAATCGAAGAAATCGTGAAAGAGCGAAACGTCGGCTGAGGAAAACAGTACTTGGTCAAATGGAAGGGATGGCCGCATAGCGAAAATACTTGGGAACCATCACGTCACCTTACCCACGCGAAGAAGGTCCTGAGAGATTGGCAGAGGAAACAATCCAACCCAGACACACGCATTCGCCTCCTGCCAATGCTCGAAGCCGGACATTGGGATTATCTCATCCATCGCTACAAACCCAAAGACGAGCGCCTTCCATACCCCCAGCAACAACTCTTCGACCCCTACGAGAACGTCTTCACGCCCATTGGCCTAGTCAATGAGGACATCAACCCTAGAGAGGGGGTAATGTCATAGTTCGGCCACTTTTTCATCTTATCACTGACGATCTTATCTTATCTTGGCACGACTTATCTTATCACAGATCACGGCATCAGACGCTCCGGGCTAGGGGAACAGGGGTCATCTTTATCGATTCAAGGCTGCGCAACATATGCTCCGGAAGGTTCTACTACAACCCATGACCAGCGTTCCATGTGGTACATAGCCCTATGACTCATTAGTTGTAGATATGACTCAGACTGGATTTGGGTATAAATACTGTAGCTACTTGGTTGTATTCTCCAGTCTTCAAATTCACTTCTCTTTTCAACTTTGTTTTTGGGTTGATTGTCACAGTCATCAGCTCCGATTTGGGCGATAACTTGTTGGCGCGCTTCTCATCAGGGATAAAGACATATGCAGCACTACCAAAGACTCGGAGTTCAGAAACATCCGGTTTTTCCTTGTGAAGGGCTTCAAATGGAGTTTTCCATTTTAGATGCCTGATAGGTGTCAAATTGTAGATTTGTGTTGTATGTTTAATTGCGAATTCCCAATAAGAATTAGGAAGACAGGCAGTGAAGCGCATAGCTTCTGCCTTATCCATGATTGTACGATTGAAGCGCTTGGCATACCCATTCTGCTGATGAGCATATGGAGCACCCTTCTCCACTAGAATTCCTTGTTCCGCGAGAAATTCTTCCATTCCCATCCCCATGAATTCTCCCCCATTGTCAATATGCCACTTTTTGATGGTGACATTGAACTGGTTTTTGACCATTGCAATGAAATTGCGCATAGCCTGCTTGGCATCGGATTTCTGCGCAAGGCATACTGTCCAGCCATAGGAGAGTGCTTCGTCGAAGAAGCTCATGAAGTAACGGTACTTGTTATAAGACACCATGGGAAATTGTTTGAGATCCGAGTGGATCAAATCAAACGGATTCTCCGCTTGTTTCTCGGAAGGCGGGAAGGCATGTTGGTGCATTTTCCCTTGCGCGCATCCTTTACATGGTTGGGTTTCCTTGGGAAATACTAGGTCTTCTGGAAAGCCCTTGGTATTCTTTTTTGCCTGACGTAAAACGTCTTTCGACGGATGTGCAAATCGCCGGTGCATGATCTCATAATCCACCTTGTAAACAGTGGACATGGATCGCACCGTCTCAGCCGTGCTTGGCTTTGACATCAGGAAGTACAAGGCAATGTCCTTCCCTAGAGTTCTAAACTCCATGATCGAGAGTGGGGACTTCCCTCGATGTAAGCTGATCCGCGATTCGTCTCCACAAACGCGAGATCCTCCTTTGAGTAAGGAGCCCAAAGACATGAGACGACCATGTAATCCTGGCACTAGGTACACTGGATATATCTGAGAAGTCACCATAGTCTTTTCTCCATGCCTTGTGACGTAATGATCGATGAAGGCTGTTCCTTGACCAATAAGGGCAACACGTGTGTTCTTATCAGCGGTCTGAGCAACAATAGGATCTGAGAGCTTCTCATATCCAACCAGATCACTAATCTCCGATGTCACATGGAGAGATGCACCAGAATCAAGAAGCCATAGAGGCCCTAATTCATGATGGTGATGATGTTTCCCCTTACACTTAGAGCAGGCAGCAAAATCGGAGTGCACACAGAATAGATTGGTACAAAAATCATGCGATCAAATCATCAACAAATTAAGTACAGAACCCGGGGCGGCGGTGATTACGCGCTCTGGCTGTGAGCAACAATCAGAATTGTGCATATGCCCAAGAAGGCAGGGTACTTGCCTTTCGGCGGAAGGAGTGTCCATCTCCTCCAGAAGGGTGTTGAAGTCAACAACCTCATCCCAATTGACTGGTTCAGCCTGGGCAAACTCACTATCTCCAAACAGAAGATCAAGATCATTCTGTTGGCCGGTGGCCATCTCAACGTCGGGGATCTCCTTGATACAACTGCGTTTGGCAGGAGGACCACCATCCAGGGTGTGATTCGAGCCGGAAGCAACCGGAGATGGAGAACGCATGATTGCGTCCTCGCGGAGCATTCCTTTCTCATTGATGATCTTGTCAAGAGTCCAGAAGCGTTCTGCGGTCACCGTCACGTCCATTTTCTTGGCCAGCTCGAAGACCTTACGAGTAGGCTTCTGGAACTCGGTGTCAATAATCCCATTGTTGTTAACGGGAGACTTCTCTTGAACCGCGTGGATTTTGGGTCCATCGCGAGAGATGTGCATGACATGCGAGATTGTCGGTGCAGGAATAGACGGAGTGAGCAAGGCGATCGAACCGATAGTGAGGGAGCCAGTGATCTCAGAGACTCCATGGACATGACTGTGATCAGCCTTGCCCTTGCCCTTGTTGTCCTTGTTCTTCCCACTGCGCTTGCCTCGACGGTTCTTCTTCTTTCCATCAGCCTTATCACCCTTATCGGGTGCAGAGCCAGAGCTCTGTTGCTGATTGGTGAACGAAGGGTCATCGCACTTGCGCTTGGTATTGAACTTGGCCACATGATTCTGGCTTTGAGACTGCTTCTGAGCAAAATGCGTCAAGAGAGCGTCGCGAACCACCAAGACCTTAATCTCGTCCTTGTCGTAAGTCTGTAGAACAGTCTCTGTGACAGAGGGAATCCAGGCTATGTTGAGAATGATCATCGCCCTGAGAAACTCAGGAATGATCAAAGACTCATTCTCCAGGTGAGTGAACGCCGTAGTGATCACCAGCAGCTGTGGATCCGGGTGCAACCCCACGTTGTACTTGGAGTTCAACGCGGCTTGGAAGTACGCGTACAGGTTGGCACACTGAGCACCACCATATTGGGTCTTCAGATGCTCCCAGATCTTGGCAGCGGACACTATTTTGGTGGCAGGAATGTTAGCAATGACACCTTCAGTCAGGTGCAACTTAATGCTGCCTTTGGCCCTGAGGTCGTCATGCTTCCACTGCTTGATTTCCGATTTGTTGGACACAGAGCCATCAGATGCTTTGACTTCGGTTGGCACGGTTTCAGTCAGCACATATGAGATCCCCTGATGCTCCAGATAGGACTCCATAGTTCCGGACCAGACAAGCCAGTGCTTTCCATCAAAGCTGGAGACAGCATTGAAGATGTTGTTGGAGTTGGACAACATGTTAGATCTGTGTGAGTGATCAGCATCAATCTAATCTGATAGATAAAATCAAAGATAAAGATGATCAGATCCTCATAGATCATAATCTCCTTCAGAGATTGATGCATCTGGATCAAGCAATGTAATCGCGATCCGGCATGGTTTCACCAGCGCTATGCAGCAGCTGAAGTGAATACAGATAGGCTAAAGACGCTGCTCATTGTTGCAGCCAGTGACGGCGCATACAATGAATGTCGCGGCCACTGAGGCGCAGACATAGCTCTCGGGGCTCATAACCTGTTGAGCACTGGGGAGAGCGTCTAGCAGCTCACCTGTGTGAGTGAGAGCTTAGTGTGGGCACTATGCGGGAGTAGTCAAGAGACTTATATTAAAGGGTAATAGAGCCCTCCTTATATATGATACAGGGGGCTGTTTGTGTCTATTTGGGACGAGTCGATATGACTCTAGATGACACGTGATGGAGTCATAGATGTGTATCACGACATCCATCTTGGATGATATTTGATCAACAAGTGACGGCGCATACAATGAATGTCGCAGCCACTGAGGCGCAGACATAGCTCTCAGGGCCCATAACCTGTTGAGCACTGGGGAGAGCATCTAGCAGCTCACCTGTGTGAGTGAGAGCTTAGTGTGGGCACTATATGAGAGTAGTCAAGAGACTTGTATTACAGGGTAATAGAGCCCTCCTTATATACAATACAGGGGGCTGTTTGTGTCTATTGATATGAGTTGGCATGACTCTAGATGACACGTGATGGAGTCATAAGATTGTATCACAACATCCATCTGGCAGATGATATTTGATCAACAACTTTGAATTTTGATTGGTGTTCCCACCAATCCAAGCATGTTTTGATGTGTCTGTTTCACTGCTGTTGTGTTTTCACTTCCTTTGCCTGTGCTCAATGCTCCTTTGATTGGCCGAATTTTGTGACCAGCAATAATCACATATTTTGTATTTATGATCTGGAGCAAGAACTTTCTTGCATATACAGGACACAAGTCAGAGGTGGCAAAGGAGTCAAGTCCATGCTTGGCTCTGTTTCCAAAATCTAAGTGGAATCACGTGAATCCGCTGTGCAAATCCCAAGCAAAAGGACCTTGACAGTAAACACAAAACCATGTTGAACCAATGACCACAAAAGCACACTTGACAACAGTCCACAGCCTTTACCAATAGGCAATGATACCTTAGTATGTGTGTTCATATCATTCATTGTATCATAAATGGTGTTTGAGGGTCATGTCTTTGGACCCATTCTAATGATAATTTGAGTGAGAATAAACACTGCAGTCATTAATAATACAAAAGACGCGGAAAAACTGTTCACCTGTACAATACTATGTACTTGAGATGAACTCTGTCGGGGGTGTTGCCGAAGGCAGGGCACGGGATGGGGGCTCAGGGGGGATTCTGTTTGGCAGGGGTGATCCCATCAGATTTGAAATTACACGTCTTTTCGCGACCTAGTTCTCCCTCTTCCAAAATGTCTCAAAGTCCTGTATTCGTTATGAGTACGTCCTACTCTCGGATTTCGTCCATTATATGCTCATAAATTTCACGCTCAGACACAGCTCCAGCCCGGCAATCGGGAAGAAAAGCTCAAATATCGAACATCACGGCCGCGAAGGTTCGCATCTACACAGCGACATTCTGCGTCTGGCTCATGGTCGGTAAAGACAGTTGCAGATGTCATCCGGACCTGCTTGGGACCAAAGGCTATGCTCAAGATGATATTAGACCCGATGGGGGGCATACTGTGCGGTGACTAGATCTGCTTTCTCTCATGAGTTGATTTGTTTCTCAGACTTACCAACGACGGTAATGCTATCCTCCGTGAAATCGACGTTGCACATCCTGCCGCGAAGAATATGATCGAACTCAGTCGAACGCAAGATGAGGAGTGCGGAGACGGAACGACCAGCGTGATCATTCTCGCCGGCGAGATTTTGGCGCAATCCCTCTCCCAGCTTGAGCGAGACATTCACCCGGTCGTCATAATATCAGCTTACAACAAGGCATTGAAAGATGCGCTCGAGATCGTGAAGCGGATCTCTGTGCCCATCGACACAACGAATGACCAGGAGATGCTTGCTCTGATCAAAACCTCCATCGGCACCAAATTCGTCATGCGGTGGTCCGATCTTATGTGCAAGCTGGCTCTTGAAGCTGTGCGCACTGTTGCCCAGGATGATAATGGCATGAAGACTGTCGACATCAAGCGCTATGCGCGAGTGGAGAAAGTTCCAGGTGGCGAGATTGAACAAAGCTGTGTTCTGAATGGTGTGATGTTGAACAAGGATATCACACATCCGCAGATGCGTCGGCGGATCGCCAATCCTCGCATTATCTTGCTGGACTGCCCTCTGGAATATAAGAAGGGGGAAAGTCAGACCAACATGGAGTTTTCCAGAGAGGGGGATTGGGCTCGAGCTCAAGAGATTGAAGAGGAACAGGTCAAGACGCTGGTGATGAGGATACTGGAGTTTAAGCCTGATCTGATCCTCACGGAGAAGGGTGTTTCTGGTGAGGAACTCCAGTTCACGGCGATTATCAGCTGACATTTTCAGATACTGCACAACACCTGCTCGTCAAAAACAATGTATCTGCCTTGCGCCGAGTTCGGAAGTCGGACAATAACCGTATTGCTCTGGCTGTGGGCGCAACCATCGTTAACCGCGTCGAAGACCTGCGCGAAGCTGATGTCGGTACCAAATGTGGATTATTCAACATCGAAAAAATCGGGGACGAGTGAGTGATTCAAGTGCGCTTGTTGCGTATCGTCTCACGTTTGTGAAGATACTTTTCTTTCTTAACGGAATGCAAGACTCCGAAAGCATGCACGATTCTTCTGCGTGGACCATCCAAGGATATCTTGAATGAGATTGACCGGAATCTTGCAGATGCTATGAACGTGGCACGCAATGTCGTGTTTCACCCAATGTTGGCGCCAGGAGGGGGAGCGACCGAGATGGCCATCAGCGTCGGTCTACACGCGAAAGCGAGAAGTGTTGTTGGCGTCGAAGGTTGGCCATATCGTGCCGTGGCTGATGCGATGGAGGTCATCCCGCGTACTCTGGCACAAAACAGTGGCGGCAATGTCATACGGATTCTGACCGAACTGAGGGTGAGATTTGGTATGTGCTGAATGTAAGTTGATTCTGATTGCATTTGCAGGCGAAGCACGCGAATGGAGAGTGTTCATGGGGTATCGATGGAAATACCGGTGAAATCGTGGACATGAAAGCCCATGGTTTGTACGAGTCTGCCAGTGTCAAGATCCAAACCTTCAAAACCGCTGTCGAGGTCATATCCGTTTTCTCAGTGCTCGCATCAGGCTCAATGCTGACTTGTAGGCTGCCCGTATGTTACTACGAGTGGACGATGTTGTACAAGCAGTTCGCAAAGACCGAGGGCACGACTCCGGACCAACACAAGAAGAGATGGAAGCACAGTAGACAGTCTATGATTGAAAATGAAATCGACTTGACATGTACTTTAGAAAACTACTGCCATTACCGAATTCGCTGGAATTTAAGCTGGAATTTCTCCGTCATGGAAACAGACGTAGCAACAATCCGCTGCACATGCCCACAGGACCCACCAGGAATCTCCACAATAGTCCTTCGATACGAGCGAAGGAGATATCCAGCTGTAAGCAATCCACCAAAATGAATGTGGGAACAGTAATGGCAATCGTTTGGAACAAACTGAATGGTGCTGGAAACGTATGCGGTGCTGAATAGGACAGCACAGCCCGCACCAACAATGCGCGGGCGCTACGGCCGATTGAAGGGGAATATGAATCCCAGCCGGAACTATGCAGATCCAGTCCTCGTCCCTGGACGATAAATATGAAGAGGGAGCACGAGATCGCGGCAATGAGAATAAAGAACATGTATAGAACGGTTGTCCGTGTTTGGATCGGAGTCGGAAGGAGGCTAGACGAGAAGAAGGTCTCCGAGAGCGCCATGGACAGCCAAATCATGGCTAGGACGAAGATGGGTAGGAAGAACAAGATTATTGGGAGGACAATGTTGTAGACCCCATGCGTCAGAAACCAGGCAAAAGGAAGGCTGCGGTGCACCTTGTACAGGAACAGTGGTGAAGGCGGGTGGGGAAAATGGAACTGCAAAGCGTGAAAAGCAAAGCAGAGGAGGAGGACGTTGAAGGCAACACTGCCGGCGAATGGCACCGCGGGCAAGGAAATTAGGAACATGGCGAGCGTCACAGCGAAGGGCAACTTGAAGGCGTTCCAAGTTCTGGTAAGGATAGAACCCGAAAACAAAATGAGAAGGATTTCTCTGGCGCCAATGTAATTGGGGCGGGAAGTTTCGTTGGTGAGCGGTTCCGGGGGTGGGCGCATCACATAACTGACGAGCAGCCCGAAATATGCCAGATGCGTGATGAGGTCTATCAGATGAAGGGCGCTAAGACAATCTTCTTAGCCAACATCGATGGAGAAATCAGGCCAGTCTGACCGTGGGGTGCTCATGGCCTCATATCGAGCGCCGATCTCAGTCCTGCCGGACGAAAAACCATGTTTCCAAGTGTGGATGATGCTGAGGACAACAAGGTCGTGACAAACCAGAGGACTACACTCAGGTTCGGTAGTGCATAAGAGATCAACCACTAGATAGGGGGTTCAAGCGTGATTGAGTAGGGAGAGAAAGATCTGATGGATGTACCTCGTAAACTTTGTGGCGTCAAATCATCCACAACGAACGGACTCCAGAGCACCTGTTCTATTTCGGCTGCGCTTCTGTAATCTTCTAAAAAGGTGCTCCATGTCTGTAGAGCCAGTCCATCCAGTGAATTAACAATATCTGTCGTCGATATGTCGTGTTGATGCCGATTCCACATGTCCGTGTCTGGTTGCTGGCGAAGCTTGTGGGTCCGTAATGCGAGAAGAACGACCATTCGGAAAGCGGTCTCCCTGCTCCGGTCGGTATCCGCAGGACAGACTTCGTTGACATTGGCCCAGCCGATGTTATTGTCCAGGCGCATCAGCGCTTCAGAAATGGTGGGGAATGTCGGGTGTGGTGTGTCATTTGCTAGAAGAGGTGCGCTCTCGTCATGAGACATTAGCGCCGTGAGGGTAGGTGATGAGTTAGCCGGGCAAGACCCTCGATCATACGAGGGCGAACGTGTGAATAACAACGTGCGAGAGGAGCACACAAATGACAAACGAGAGGAACGTAACAAATTTTAGAAACCACATGAGCGCGATGCGGTCACAGACGTCACGTACTACTAATATCAATTGAACTCGTCTTCAACTTCATCGCTGAGATGAACGCTGTCCACACGCCACTACTTGATGGTCAAATCGAATCCGACGAGGTCGCTGGAGACTTGTCGTATAAACCGCCGCCGAACAGTGGCACGCGAGCTTCTCCGGTTGTCCTCACACCTACCACTCGAGCGGAGCAAATGGCGACAACACAGAATGATGCGGAAGCCGGTGAAATCTGGTGTCAGTACTTGTCTGAGTTTCAGACTCACTTTCTATCTCTTTAGGTCTTGCTGGGATATTTCGCCAGGTGCGTAAACCCCCCCCCCCAATAGCATCCTGAACTAAGCCTCGTCGGATCAGTCGTCACACCCTCTTGCTCTGTTCTTCCTCTTCCTCTTCCGCCTGGCCGCCATCACTGTCTATCTTCTCTCTGGCTTTGTAACGAGTATCTTGTCCTCTTTTTGACCTTCCGTTTGTCTAAAATTAGTTCCAAGGCAACTACGTGCTTTCGACAGTTGCTGTTGTGGTTCTGCTTTCCATGGATTTTTGGAACTGTCGAGTTAGTTCACTTCTCATCCGACCGCATACTTTCATCTCACTTACTGAGTCAGAACATCGCTGGCAGAACGCTGGTCGGTCTGCGATTCTGGAACCAGGTGAGTACCCATGTTTCAATCGACGCGTATCTCAAACATGATCTAGGTTGACGAGGACGGGTCAAGCTATTGGGTTTTCGAAAGTCGCGACGTATGTCATCTCCGCTAGTTATGTCTTCGTTTTCCGACAGCTATAGCCTTCACGACCTGCGAATGCTGTAGACTCTCGGTCAGGACTTCGCCTCTTTAGTGCCAAACATCACTAATGTGCCTCAGCAGAATGTTTTGGGTAGCCTTTGCGTCACGTTAGTTGTACTATATTGCTCATGCCCGTTGAGATTGCCATCTACGTGTTCCCTGTTCTCTGGGTTGCGTTGCTGATTGTTTCTTTGCTGAGATTCAACCTCAAGTCCGTGCTAGCCTTCCCTATTTCTTTCCCGTTTGCTGATGTGAAGCCAGCTTTGTTCCGATCGTGTTGCTCGCGCTCGTGTTTAACGTCACAAATGCGATCGGATTCACTTATGCGTCAGTATCCCTTGCTCTGTTTCTGATCTGTTTCCGATGGCATCTTCTAGCGATCGGGATGCTAAACAACGATGGGCTAACGAAGTGGTTGGGGCTGGATGGAATCTGGGATTGGGCGGCTTGGGAGGCCAATTACTGAGTGGCGCTGTGCAGAAAGGCGTGGGTCGTGTCTTTGGCGGCTCGTGATTATCATTATACCGCTTTTCTACAGTTCTCTACTTTTTTGCCACCAATGGTATGATTGTCTCGGTCTGCGCTCTTGTTTGCGCGCCCTTCTGGTTGTTTTTTGCGACTGCATACAACATTCCTGCCAGGGAGCCGACAGCAATCGCAGACACTGACCCAAATGTTACTGGATCTCCAAAGAAAATCAAGCCTGACGCTGCAACGGGTAACTTATTCAATGCCCCGACCATGCTGGAAGCAAAGTTTGAGAGCAATACGTTGGAGTACAACTTACACACCTGTAAGTAGTACTGCTGGTCGTTCTAACGCACCATGCAGTCGTGAAGGAGATGCCGACCGCAGCAGCACCGGAAAAAACGATCGCGCCGAGAAGAACCTGACGCGTTTCCACAGGGCTGCCCAAATCCGGTCACCGTTGATACATACAGAGTCGATACCAGGCACTCACAAATTGCGAGCTAGATTTTGAGAGCCCCAGTCTTCGACAAGGAAAGACGCTACCGCAAGGACTGGAATGGAGCTGAGAACATTCGTTCATGTCAGACATACGGAAGCATTGCAGAGACAGCACAAACAGTAGATTGTTATATCGCATGGAATCCCAATCGGAAAACCCTGTGGCTTTAATCCGATCCCGCATGGCGAGAACCTGTGCTACAACATTTAACGTGACATGCCTGGTGTGCATAGTCTACACCTACATATCCTGCGCTCACCAAACAGTTGGAGAGCATCCAAAAATAGCCTATGTTGAGGCTGCTCACAACCTGCTTGACCGCAGAAAGAGATGCGGCAGTGGGGATGGTCACAGTTTCATCGAGCGAGTCGGCCATATCTGCCCAGGTCGCAATCACAGAAGACAAAACCATGAAAATGAATGATATGAATGTGAGTCGGGTCACACGACCGCCGAACCAGATTACTTCGCCGTAGGCCTGTTCTGCGAATTAGCAGGGGTGGCTGCAGCTGTACCGGTAGGCGAACACACAATGAGAATGATCGTCAAATTCTTGAAGATTGTGTAGACGGGAATCGACAAATATTGCTGGGACAGTGGCTAGTCAGAAATTGCCAGAATTGTATGCACGCAGAGAACTCACCAAACTTTTGGAGCCCGTGTATATCACAGCAACAAGCAGCGAGCTGACTGGGAGCCATGCCTTGGCGTCTTGCATATCGAATGTGCGAAACGAGATGATCCCCATCTTCTTGAGGACCATGACGCAGCTTACGCAGACAATCGATTGTATGCATAGAAGAAGGAAGTTCATCTGTCGGAGATCTCTGGTTGAGCACACAAATCAATCCGAAGCATGAAGGGAATCGACGCCCAAAGGCGATTTAAAACATACCGAAAACTGGGCACCGGAAACGACGAACTGAGGATAGCGTCGACAAAGAACATAAAACTGGAGTCCAGTGGTCGTACCTTGTTGACCAAGGTCATCATAATCGAGGCTACGCAGTAGCAGAGGATAGGTGGTACTGCAAGCACCCTGTGAATAGGAGCGAGATGAATATCTTCAGACTCACTGGGGGACCCTTTTGCTTCCTTGACTCCTCCCGTAGCCAGCGCCTTCTTCATTTCAGCATCGTCTTCGGAAATCGGTCGGGTGGCCATAAAACGTGAGCAGAGTTGCTTACTGTGATGTGGATTTGTCACGATCATCACTGCCTACTACTGTTGAGACCGTCATGAACTGGTTGACAACTATTGCGTCGATTGGAATGGCTGTCGGACCCCCACTGGTATGAATTCCCAGTATACTTTGCTCAAAAATTGAAGGGGTTCCCTAGACATATGTGGACCAAGCATACTCTATTGTTCGCAAGAAGCATGTTCCTTTTTGCGCGCGATGCATTCAGTGGACGCGAACTGATACCTCACGCCACACAGGGACTCGACTGGTTTCTCTCGAGATGTCTGCGCTATTCTGTTCGTCTCCATCTCAATCGCCGATAGACAAACTTGTTAATCGAAACACTGTCAAGACTGATCGCAAACATAACAAGATGTTTCTTCTGGCTGGGGTTCGTCCTGAGGAGCTGTCAGCATCTCACTCTCCAATTTGACGCCTCAGGAATCATTTTGAAATCGCTTTGCTGGTGCAGTCGTTTCTACTTATCTTTTCCCAGGTCAGCTGCGTCGATTTAACCTCGACCCTCATCTAATTTCTCAGCTTGCGCTGCTCTACATCTGCATCATCTATCGCCCCAAAACCAGCGCAGAGGTTCTTGGAGGATCGAAAAGACCACTTTCTTTCTGGCAGTGGCCGACCTACATACAGCACCTTGAGTTTCTGGCCGGCCTGATGTCAGCTGCTGAATTCCACCTTGCCTGGACCTCGGCTGATCTCTGACGATACAGCATCCTACAAGCTATACTTTTTCTGGTATTTGGTCGGTTTGAACTCTATGTCTCTCTCCTGGGCTTTCTCGCTCTCGGTCTCGAAAGCACGTTACCTATTCCTCAATTGATTAGGTAGTTCGGATTCCGATGCATAGTCGACTATCGATGCTAAGTCTCCAAAAGCAACTACAAGCAACGCTCTCTCTATGGCTTCAGAATGTCCACTCTTGTCGGATGGGCCGGTGGAGATCTGTTCAAGTGCGTTCCAGCAACGGGACTTTCTGTCCCGGAGACTCTGATCTCATCAGAACTGCGTACTTTTTCATGAAAGCGACCCCATTACAATTTACAATCTGTGCTGTGTTCCAGTTGTCTGTGGACTTCGGTGAGGATTGTGTGTTGGGGAATCGAATAGCGACTGATTTCACATCCAGCCATCGTCATTCAACGTATCGTGTACGGTGTTGATCCTCCGCCCACAGTGCTTGCGGATGATGAAGATTTGGAACAAGCACTCGCGCTCGCGGAAGAATAGAAACCGGGACATGGCTAGGATGAGTAACTAATAGATAAATCATTACAAGTGTCGTTCGTTCTACGATTGTCCCATCGAATGTACGAGACGAGGTGCATTGATCCCGGATTCAATTCATGACCGACTTTCTGATTACCGTCCATGGTGTGGACCGGACTCAGTTTGAGATAGAGGAATGACTCTTCAGACGCGCGCCCAGCGCAGCAGAGCCACCTCATCAACCGAGCCAAACAATACAACGCATCTTTCGGGCCATACATCTTTCTTCGACGAACGCCGAGTCTCTTTCCAGGTTTTCGTTACCCTCCTCGTATACTGGCTAGACTCTTACTCCGTGTTCAGCAATGGAAACCAAACCTATCGCTTTCTGCGAGCACCTCCAACTTTCCAGTGTTGGAGTGCAACCAGCGTCTATAGCATTCCAGGTATGTTCGTTCGGTCTCACACGCGTCTTTCACTCACGAAAGCCGTGAGTAGACGCTAACCCTCGAATCCGACCACTTCATTTGTGTTCGAGAGAAGGTCAATGAGCAGAACCAAGTCGTCATCATTGACTTGGCCGACGCGAATAGTGTGCTACGGCGGCCCATATCCGCCGACTCCGCCATCATGCATCCCCACCAGAAGATACTTGCACTGAAAGGTGAGTCTTCACCGGCTGCCGCTCGCTATCGCTAACTGCTGTGTTCCGCAGCCGGACGGACCCTGCAAATCTTCAATATTGACACGAAGCAGAAAGTCAAGTCTCATGTGAATGACACTGATATCGTCTTCTGGAAGTGGGTTTCCGATACAACCATCGGCATGGTCACCGAATCCTCGGTATTTCACTGGACCATCGCCGACCCCACATCTCCCCCCCAGAAAATCTTTGACCGCCATCCTACACTCGGCGGCGCTCAGATCATCAATTATCGCGTCACATCTGACGAGAAGTGGCTGGTCCTCATTGGTATTTCTGGAAACACGACAAACCCCTCTGCGTTTAAGGTCAAGGGAGCCATGCAGCTCTACAGTCGGGAGCGGGGCGTAAGCCAGCCGATAGAGGGGCACGCGGCGGCATTTGCTGAGTTGAAGTTGGATGGCCACCAGAATCCGACGAAGCTCTTCACGTTCTCTGTTCGGACGGCCACGGGTGCCAAAGTGCGTGACTGAATCATATTCAAGATTCAACTTGTGACCTACGGCATTCAGCTGCATGTTGTTGAGATCGACCACACTGCTCCCGACCCGCCCTTCGTGAAGAAAGCCGTCGACGTATACTTCCCACCCGAGGCCACGAACGACTTCCCGGTCGCAATGCAAGTCTCGAAGAAACATGGCATCATCTATCTTGTCACTAAATTCGGTTTCATTCACCTTTACGATCTGGAATCGGGTGCCTGCGTCTACATGAACCGTATCTCAGGCGAGACGATGTTTGTGACCGCCGAGCACGAAGCCACGAATGGGATCATCGGTGTCAACAAGAAGGGTCAAGTCTTGAGCGTCAATATCGACGAGCAAACCATCATCCCTTATATTCTTCGTGTCCTCAACAACACGGAACTTGCATTCAAGTTGTCCAGTCGCGCAAATCTTCCTGGAGCCGACGACCTGTATGTCCAACAGTACAACCAATTATTCCAAAGTGGGCAGTACGGTGAGGCGGCAAAGATCGCAGCCAATTCTCCCAGGGTGCGTTTTTAACATTCAGACGCAACTTGATTAACTCTTGCTGTAGGGTATACTACGCACGGTCCAAGTCATCGAGGCGTTCAAAACTGCCCCGGCTCCTCCCGGCGGTCTATCACCCATTTTGCAGTATTTCGGCATCCTGCTGGAAAAGGGAGAGCTGAACCATCTGGAGTCGTTGGAGCTGGCCCGCCCTGTGCTGCAGCAAGGCCGGAAACAGCTCCTGGAAAAGTGGCTTAAGGAGAACAAGGTGTGGGATTCACGATGCTCACTGAATCCTCACTTACCACATGGTTAGCTTACCTGCAGCGAAGAACTAGGAGATATCGTTCGTTTGCACGACATGACTTTGGCTCTGAGTGTCTATCTCAGAGCCAACGTCCCCACGAAGGTCGTTGCTTGCTTTGCTGAAACAGGACAGACCGACAAGATCGTGCTGTATTCTAAGAAAGTGGGCTTTAGCCCTGACTACTTCTCTCTTTTGCAACACATCATGCGCACGAATCCGGAGAAGGGAGCCGAATTTGCAGCCCAGCTGGTGAATGAAGAATCAGGACCCCTCGTCGACGTTGAGCGGGTGCGTACCTATTTTGGTTCTCTCCTCCAGATACTCAGTGGCCACAGGTTGTAGATGTCTTCATGTCTCAGAATATGATTCAGCCGGCGACGTCGTTCCTTCTCGATGCTTTGAAGGAGAACAAGCCCGAGCAGGGGCACCTCCAAACTCGCCTCCTCGAGATGAATCTGGTTCACGCGCCCCAGGTTGCCGATGCGATCCTTGGCAACGAGATGTTCACCCATTACGATCGTCCTCGTATCGCAAACCTGTGTGAGAAGGCTGGTCTTCTGCAAAGGGCAAGTCAAGGATGTGATTCTTGTCTCTTTGTGCTTATCGCTTGCAGGCGTTGGAACATTACCAGGATCTTGCAGATATTAAACGAGTTATCGTTCACACTGCCGCTCTGCAACCCGAGGTCGGTAGTTGATCTCTGCAATCTTCCATATCTCACGTTCATTCTCCGTGCAGTGGCTCGTGAACTACTTCAGCAACCTGACTACCGATCAGTCAATGGCCTGTTTGCAAGAGATGCTGCGAATCAATATCCGACAGAACCTTCAGATTGTCATTCAGATCGCAACCAAGTACTCAGACATTCTGGGGCCCGTCAAATTGATCGAGATGTTCGAGAGCTTCAAGAGCTTTGAAGGTCCGTTTCTTCTAGCCCTTTCCTACTTTCGTATCGAATTTTCTACAGGCTTGTACTACTATCTCGGTTCCATCGTCAATGTCAGCGAAGATCCCGAGGTGCACTTCAAGTACATCCAGGCCGCCACTCGCACTGGCCAGATCCGTGAAGTGGAACGGATCTGCAGAGAAAGCAACTTCTATAATCCAGAGAAGGTCAAAAACTTCCTGAAGGAGGCAAAGCTTTCAGACCAGCTTCCGTTAATCATCGTTTGCGACCGATTCGACTTCGTTCACGATCTGGTTCTCTATCTGTACCAGAACGGATTGACCAATTTTATCGAAGTCTACGTTCAACGAGTCAACTCAATCCGCACTCCTCAAGTTGTCGGAGGCCTGCTCGATGTGGACTGTGATGAGGCGACAATCAAGAGCTTGCTTGCGTCGGTCAGCGGCAACTTCCCGATCGATGAATTGGTCCACGAAGTCGAGCAACGAAACAGGCTCAAACTGATCCTTCCCTGGCTTGAAGCCCGTGTCCAAGCTGGCAGCCAGGATGTTGCCGTTTATAACGCCATCGCCAAGATCTACATCGACAGCAATAACAATCCTGAGGCGTTCTTGAAGGAGAACAATGTCTGTTCATATCCTTGCAATTTACAGATAGGCATTGACTTTTACACACACAGTTGTATGACCCTCTCGTCGTTGGAAAGTTCTGCGAGAAGCGAGACCCTTACCTCGCCTACATTGCTTACGCCAAAGGCTTTTGCGACGAGGAGCTCATTGCCATCACCAATGAAAACTCGATGTTCAAGCAGCAGTCCCGTTACTTGGTCAAGCGACGCCAGCCCGAGCTTTGGGCACAAGTTCTCGTCGGCGACAACATGTACCGTCGCCAGCTCATTGACCAGGTAACTGTCTTTTTTTTCTTCCTCGACCGACTCTGACCGGATTTAGATCTCTGCCACAGCTCTGCCTGAATGCACTGATCCCGATGACGTTTCGGTTACCGTCAAGGCGTTCATCACGGCCGACTTGCCTATAGAGCTGATTGAGCTCTTGGAGAAGATCATCATCGAACCCTCGCCTTTTAGTGACAACAAGAACCTTCAGAACCTGCTCCTCTTGACCGCGATTCGCTCCGACAAAGGCAAAGTGGTTAACTTCATCAATAAGCTCAAGAATTATGATTACAACGAGATCGCGAAGATCGCCATCGAGCATGGCCTGCACGAGGAGGCTTTGTCCATCTACAAGAAGTATGAACAGCACGCGCTCGCAATCAATGTTCTTGTGGAGCACATCGTCTCCATTGATCGCGGGCTAGACTTCGCCAACAAAGTCAATAAGCCTGAAGTTTGGAGTCGTCTTGCCAAGGCTCAGTTGGATGGGCTGCGTGTCAAGGATTCCATCGGTGGGTTCTCTGTCTGTATCTTGTATGTGGGCATCTGTTGATCTGGCGTAGACTCGTACATCAAAGCTGAGGATCCTGCGAACTTCATGGAAGTCATCGAAATTGCTACTCATGCCGGCAAACATGAAGACTTGATCCGCTTTCTGCAGATGGCTCGCAAATCATTGCGCGAGCCCAAGATCGACACAGAGCTTGCTTATGCGTATGCCAAGACAGACCGGTTGCACGATATGGAGGACTTTTTGAGTATGACTAATGTTGCGGATATCCTGGAGGTTGGAGAGAAATGTTTCAACGACGAACTCTACCAGGCCGCCAAGTTGTTGTTCGCCAGCATCTCGAACTGGGCTCGTTTAGCCACGACTTTGATCTATCTGGGCGAGAACCAGTCGGCCGTCGACAGCGCCAGGAAAGCAGGAAACACTCAGTGCGTCATGTGCAGTCTCGCTTTTCTTTGTTCTGACATGACACAGAGTTTGGAAGCAAGTGCACGCAGCTTGCATCGAGAAATCGGATTTCAAGCTCGCCGAGATCTGTGGTCTGAACATCATCGTGCACGCCGAGGAACTACTCGGTCTCGTTCAGCTTTATGAACGCAGGGGTCATTTCGAAGAAGTCATTGTGCTGCTGAGTGCTGGCTTGGTCTTGGAAAGAGCGCACATGGGGATCTTTACCGAGCTGGCCATCCTGCTGAGCAAGTATCAACCTGCAAGACGCAAGTCGTTCCCTTTCGCCTTTCGATCGTTGCTGACGAGTGTGCCCAGTGATGGAGCATCTCAAGCTCTATGTCTCGCGAATCAACATTCCGAAAGTGCTCAAGGCTGCCGAAAAGGCCCATCTGTGGCGAGAACTCGTCTTCCTCTATATCAAGTACGATGAATTTGTAAGTCTGTTGTTTTCTGCAAACGACCGTTGGAGAGATATCTCATCATTTGCAGGACAATGCCACTGTGGCCATGATCGAACGGGCTGCCGACGCCTGGGAACACAATCAATTCAAGGATGTGATCGTTCGTGTTGCCAACATCGAGATGTATGAGTTCCTGTTCTATCCTCGGTCTCATCTGACAGCAGGACAGCTATTACCGTGCCTTGTCATTCTACCTGGAGGAGCAGCCGAAACTGCTGACGGATCTTCTGACTGTCCTGATTCCACGTATCAATCATTCGCGCGTGGTGCGGATGTTCCGAAAGCAAGATCACCTTCCTTTGATTCGCAACTATCTTGTGGCCGTTCAAGAAGTAGGTCGCGCTTTCTCCTTGTACTTCACTAATTTTTTGTTTCAAGCTCAACATCGAAGAAGTCAACGATGCGTACAATGATCTGCTGATCGAAGAAGAAGACTACAAAACTCTCCGAGACTCGATCGACAACTTCGACAGCTTCAACACGATTGCGCTGGCTCAAAGATTACAAGCTTCTCCTCTGCTCGAGTTCCGACGACTTTCGGCCCATTTGTACAAGGTCGGCTTGCTCTCATGACCAGTTTCTTGAGGGACTCATTTTATGACTAGAAAAACTCCCGCTGGGACGAGTCGATTGCACTGTCGAAGCAAGATCGACTGTACAAAGATGCGATCATCACTGCATCCGTGTCCGGATCAACCGAAGTCGCCGAGGAGCTCATGTCTTACTTTGTGGACATTGGCAACAAGGAGTGCTTCTCGGCCATGCTGTTCACTTGCTTTGATTTGTTAAGATCTGACATTGTCGAGGAGCTCTCGTGGCAGCATGGATTGAACGACTTCTATATGCCTTACAAGATCCAGATCCAACGCACTCTGGTGAACAGGGTATGTCGTCTGTTCTTAGTGCCAGTTGAGAGCTGATGTTGTGTTCATCCAGCTTGCTCAGTTCGAGAAAGAACTGAAAGAGCGCTCGAAAAAAGAGGTGCAGAAGGAGCAGGCCGAGGCTGATGCACCTATCATCAATCCTGCTCTTATGATAACAAATGGCCCGGCTGGTTTTGGTGGCCCACCTCCGATGAATGGGATGAACGGTGGCATGATGCCTGTCAGTCCTTCGCTTGTTCGCCTGTTGTTCAGGACACTAACCAACTGCAGCAAATGACGGGTTTCTACTAATTCTCCCGATTAAAGTACATACACTCTTCTGCATATTCACGTTCTCGTAATGGATTCTTACCTCACCCTCGGACGCGAAGAGTGACCAGGAATGCTGCTTGGATGTTGAACGATCATGTCTCGGAGTACAAACGAGATCTACTTTGGCACCGCCGGCCAGCTCGATTATGCACTACCCCTCCCGAATCCGTTCATATTGACTCCCTTCAGGCGAGGGCTTAACACAGGCACTGCTCAAAAGATCAGACCTAGGTCCCATACTGTTCAGGATCGCACGTACGCGAGGTTTGATTAGAGTGAGCCACGATCTTTGAGACCAGTGGAGCCATTTTTTCGTCGCATTTATATGCCAGTGCATGCAATGCTTGGTTAATCGCGACAACTGGCTTCATTCCCAATTTCTGGCACTCCTCGTACTCGAGCGGAGTCCCCCGAGCACAGATGGCGGCATAGTATGGGACGAGCACATCTTCTGGAACGCCGTGCCTGCGATACAGAACGATCCGGTCGATGGAGGTGAGTGATTTAGAGTGTGGATGCTTCTCGAGTTCCCGGACAGCAAGCTTTTGCACCTCAGCGAAGCCCCACTCGTGACCGAGTCGGAGGATCGTGCTCCACTCCTCGATGGTTGCATCGTAGATCGAATACCGCCTGTATGGCTCTGGTTCAGAGTGTATGCGAGCAAGAGTTGGACAGACTGACGGATTATAGAAGACCCACAGGAAGGTCTCGAACTCTTCAACCGTCGCATCTTCGAGCTTGATGGGGTTCAGCCGGCTAGAGCCCTTTCGAATCTCTCCCGGAGCCGGCGAGGACGCGATAACGGACTTGAACATCTCGGACTCGCGCTCGAAAAAATGACGGTGTACAAGAAATTCCACATTTCCGACCTATGAACAGGTTAGCAGCGGTATTGTGTGGCTAGCAGTGCGAGAGGGCTCGCCATGATGTGGAGATCGCCGCCACTCAAGAAATATTTGTCGCTCGGCTGCATGCCATGAATCGAGCTGCGCTGTTTGTCTGCTGGCATAACGATGGGATACAAGACGAGATGACCTGCTGCTCAAGCACTTTAAATAAAAGAATCTCAAGGTGGCACTGCGATGGTGCTCCCCGGAATCGCACTTCTGGGCGCTTAACGGCCTCGCTGTGCACCAATCGAGGCGGGCACCCCCAGAAATATCAGGGAAGACAGAAAGCTGGCATCGGGAGAACCGTGTATTAGACGCTCAGGGACACCACGAGCGGCAGCACTTGAAGTGAAGTCCATTTCCTGTCCTAAAACGGCATGATCCAGACCATTAACAACCATTGTTAATCCGACAGACGCATAATAGTCATAGTAGCGTGTACACGCGGAGGCGGAGATTAAAATGTACTGACACGACCCACCTGGTGGCAACAGGTTTCGAGTTTTCAGGTACGAGCTCTGTGAGAGACATGTGCTCGCAGACATTTGTTTGTTGTGATTTTCGAGTCTTTTTCTAGATTGCTATTTTATCCACCCATCTTCATCGATACCCTCCGCCAACATTAATGCTATGTCCCGCGCGCGCGAGATCCCTGGAAATGATCAGTTTGGAAACATTGCAATGCAAGAAAGCAGTTCACTTGAAAGCAGCCTCTACACAGGAGAGGATTTCCTTATAGCTGACGACCAAGCAACTCTGCTCATCCCGAGCAATCAGCATGATTCTCTCCTCTGAGCCGGCATCGAGCTTGTTGAGACATGTCAGTACATGCCCCAGATTGACCGCCGGATTGCCGTTTTCGTCGACTTGATGGAAAACAAAGTCCCGAAAGAGCTTGATGATGTACCGGTCTCCTGTTTCAGACCATCTGGGATCCAACGCAAATTCAGGCCGCTCATTGATGAAACCAAATTTGCACAGCAGACGGACGAGGCGAGCATTCTCCAGTTCACCCATGAGCTCGTTCTCGAGAACATCTGTTGCGGAAAGAGCATCACCCAATTCAGCCGCAACTCTGGAACTGATGATTTCCAGCAGCTGGGAAATGCTCTGCACGGGAATTAGATCAAGAAAGCGATCTGACGTCGCTATGCACCTTGTGAGAGCTGTTCTTGTTGATGAGAAAGAGCGCCACCGCCTTGACTTCGGGACTGTACATCCTGCCCATCACTTCCAGGCTCTTCTGGAAATTGCTGCCACTTGAAGCCACCACGTTTCCAGTACAAAGAACGAAGACCAGGCGCCCAAACATGGTCAAATCCTCCTGTTGGAGAAGCTGGATGTCTTGCGGTGTGTCGTACATCAGTACGTCCACGATCCCGCAAGAGCTGACCCGGATCCTGACGAGATGGATCACTAACAAAGCTTCGGGATCAACGAAAGTCATGGACCAACCGATTATTGCCTGTGACCAAAACCTTGGTGACGTCGATCATCCTGAGAGCCTGACCCATGTCATGCACACGTTTGATCGCACTGGCGAGTTGGACTATGTACGACCACAGAGTTCGTTCTGGGACCTGCGATTGCACTGGCGGCGGCTGAAATTGAGTGCCGGGTTGGTACGCCGGGGGGGTCAGCTTAAGATGCCGGTCAAACAGGGTCTGTGCTTTGGGATGGTAGGCATAGGAGACCACGAGCGAACTGTCACCGAAAGCGTGTGTTGTGAACGCTTCATGGATGACCACAACTCCCGGATGTCGTATGGATGACCAGGTCTCGATGGTACTGAAGGCAGCTGGGTTGCCAAGGCGAAAGTCTAGCCGAACGTTTAGCAGCACGTTTAGCAGAATGGGAGAGGCCAGACACACTCTCAATTCGGCGCAGTGCATAGGTGCAGCCGTCAACCGAGTTTACAGCTCGATAAACGGCTGAGCTCCAGTTTCCAAACTTGCGCCGTTCCCCGTTTAGATTCTCGAGTGGCACGAGCGAATGGTATCCTTGCATCTCGTCCGGTAAGTTGAGTCCTGAATGTAGAATGATGTTTCGCATACAAACGATCTGGCAATGGAACGAACCGGGAGGCAAGCCCATGTGGACATCTTCACTGCGTCGCTGGAGCAATGTGCGTAGCTCGGTAGAAGAAGGAACGAAATGAGTGTCGGAAGGTGTCCTTAAGAATCCAGGGGGGATTGCGCTTGAATACAGGTGGTAATTTAACTGCACGGGTTTGTATGAGCATCCGTTGCTTCGCCACAAGGTCCGCCTCACTGGTTGTCGCACAAAGACAGGGGGTTGCACGTAATACGAATGGTCGCCCACAGATTCGTACGAGTCGTAACCAGGATCCGGATAATACTCGCTAGATGAGATCTGTCCGAATAAGTCAACCAGATCGAAGTATAGACGTTCGGACGAACATCCTGCATTTGGGTGCCCCCAACTGCAGTGGGTGCGGGGTATTCGTATACCACGCCTGGATCGTCCGAAGCGGACTCGGGCGATGCCACCGGCCTGTCAATATCGCTCGGATCTACAACGAATGGACTCGGATTGGATGGACGGACGGGCTAGCAGGTGGAGGTGTGTCGGTTTGAATTCGGCCAGGGAATTTGGGGACAAAGACGGGAGCGTTGACAGCCTGGGCAGAAAGAGACGTAGTGATGATTTGCTTTGCCGGCGATTCTGCTCGCGGACTATAGATGGATGAGATCGAATATGGAAGCACGAAGGCGGCTAGTTTGACGCACGCGATTGCAACAGCGTCCGGCCCCTGGACCAAGGCATCAGAGTGCATCCAAGGCAAGTCAGGAAACGCACCGGCGGATGATAGTACACACATCCTTTGTCCTCAAATTTACACGATCTAGAGACGTTCATTCGTTCCATCATCCCCATGCGTCGAGACCACCCACCCGTATATCATGATATTCCGGCATTGCCTCTGCACTGAATCTAAGTAATCTCAGCAAGATGAACGATAATGACGATTTCAGCATACCTTTGCGTGGTGATGCTGCCTTGGTCTGCACTATCTCGCCCTCTTCGGTAGCTGAAGGGCGGACGATTTTGACCGCGGCATTGGCCGATTGTGGTCGCGTGAAGAATGCCATTTCTAGAGGAGGCCGTATAAATAGACGCAGATTAATCGAGCGCGAGACCGTCCCTGGCCCGCAGACGTCGGTGAGGTTGAGGAACAACCCGAGCGTGATGTGTTTGAGTTGAATGTGATGTGTTTGAGTCGATCCTTGTACTGCACGCCTGCTACTAGTAGTAGTATCTTACTTGTTGGGTCATTTCTACGATCCCCGCCTCCTGTGGACCATCATGGACCATCTTTTGTTTCGGAACTCGTTCCAGCACCGCTGACGTACTCACAGGAGTACGCCTATCTTGTGCTCATTGACCAGCGCGCAAGCCCTCATCATCTTTCGTCATGTACTAGGTCGTCACTCTTGAACTAAGTCAAGTGACATGGGCATGGTCAGCACGGTTCGCAGTAACATCGTCATAGACGGAAAGTGCGAAGTGCAAACGGTGATGGCTGCGTGTAGCGGGTACGCTGTGTTGTTGCTGCCGCCCCTGACAAGCGTACTGTGGGCCTGCGCGTAAGGGTTGGATGACATATGTCGTCCATTGTCTCTTAGGTTAGAAAGATAGCGTGCGCAATAAGCTTGGCCTGGCATCCCGGTCATGCACGAGTCGGTCAGCCCATCGTGGTAGAGTCCAATCCGTCTTAAGAATGTCTAGTGACACCCGGCATTCGACAGAAAAGTCCAAGCCATTCCAAGTAATCATGCAAGAATTGCGAAAATAACAATTTGAATGCACCGAGAGAGAAATATGCCCCCCGAACCCATCAACTTCCTCTATTTCATCGGCCGAGATTGTGACGGATCGCTTTCGGAGTTGACAACCTTGAAGCTTGGAGCTTGAACTTGAATTTGAGCTGTGGAAGGGTAGTTGAAATGGTGTGGAAATAGAGTACTGAGTGAACCAAGGATTCGATCGCGTGTTTGCCCATGCTTGCCCATTCTCTGAACGGCCAACCGACGCCCACCACCCGACAATTGTCTTTCTCCTTACCTTGATATCTTGTGATGGCCCGCTTTCGCGTCCAGGACAGTGAAAGTGGCAGTGATGAAGACAATTTCTCGGAAGAAGAAAAAAATCCGCAGGCCATGCCCGCCGCGGCGCCATCACCACCAGAGGATGACTATGACGACGACGACAGCGAGGGAGAAGACGATTCGGAAGGCTCTTATTCGTCGGATCTCCATGAAGAGGACTTGGTGACGCGACCTCGACCGCGAAATGCTTTGGTGGAGGACGAGAACGGCGAGATGCAGTACGCTGACGCTGACGCCATGGACCCTGCACTATGGCCTCAACGCGTCGGCGTCGATTACCAGAAAATGCACGTCATGCAAGCTTCGCTATTTCGTGCACCGGAGGAAGCTGCGGCGTTGAGAGCGTCTGAGAAATCAATGCACGCGCGTTTACAGTTGCCGCTGACACTCAACCGGAAGCATAGCCGTGACTCAGAGGGAGACAGTCTACGCGTTGACCCGAAGGAGGTGCGGGTGTTCCGTTCTCTTTTTCGAGTTCCAGATATCGCTCACTCCCGCTAAGCGAGCGTCTTTTGCGCATGATGTCGAAGCGGCTCCGTATCGACCGACACGCAAGTATGCGCGCGTCGAAAGCTCCAGGTCCGCTGTTTATGGCAATGAATCCTCTGTCATAGATGCGGGGCTAGCTTTTGGCCGTTCCTTTCGCGTCGGGTGGGCATTTGATGGCTCTTTGATACATCCTGGAGTCATTTGTGCTCCTTGGAGTTCTGTGTGCGTTCTGAACACTCGAACGCTCATGTTACAACTCAATTTTACTCCGCAGGAAGCCGAACGCCAATTCCTCCGCACTTCTGAGATCCCGGCCCACAACGTGCCAGTCCAGCATCTCTGCTAAACTTCTCCAGCATCAGCTCTCCAATACCACCTTCGATTTTGACGACGAACAAGTGCCGTTCGCTATCCCTTCGTCCCATGGATTATATTTCGACTCCTTTGCCAGTCTGTTTGCCAGCTCCGATCGAACATTCGAAGCCTCGCTCTTCCGGTTGGGCTCGGCCCTGTTCGATCCGTTGATACTACGACTGGGAGAATCCGTGACTCCTGATGTCAGAAGCCGGGTAACAGCGCTGCGAAGGAAAACAGCGCTGTCTGCGTGGTTGCAAGATGTCGTTCGGCCCACTGTGGATGCGGACTTGCGAAATGCTCCTAGTCTAGGACCCGCGGGAGTTGCTTTCGTTCATCTGACGGGAAATCAAGTGGAACAAGCCTGCGATGTCGCGTTGGATGGCGGGCTTCCGAAGCTCGCTACACTGATTGCTCAAGCGGGCGGCGACTTTTCCTTCAGAGAAGATCTGAGGGAGCAGCTCGATCTTTGGCGGGAGCAACGAGTCGACCTTCACGTTGAAGAAAGTGTTCGCAAGATATACGCTTTGCTAGCGGGATTGACGGACACCGTGGTCGAGGGATCGAAGGGTGGAGGACAAGACAAGTGCGCAGATGTGGATATCCTCACTGGGCTAGACTGGAAGCGCATTTTTGGTTTGCACCTCTGGTATTCGGAGCCGGTAGATGCGACGATATCGCAAGTTTTCGCCGCCTACAGTGCGTTGGTCAAGGACTCAACACGAAAGGTCGCCAGCCCCATTCCCCGATACGAAGGAGTGAGCCGATGGAATGCGCCCTCTGTATTCGATCACGATGCTTTTTTCTCTCTAATCCGCGTCCATGCCGAGCCCACCTGTTCTCTCTCCCAAGTGCTGACACCCCTTTCGTTTGGGCCCTCACCAGTCGACTTTTCGCTGACATGGCACTTGTACATCCTCCTCTCACGTTGCATGCGAGTGAGGGACTTGTCTGATCGAGGAGACCCGGGAATCCGACCGGCAGACGATGGTCCACTTGCTGAGGGACATAGTCCTAGCGCGGATTTGTTGTCAACCAGCTATGCATTCCAGCTAGAGCAGTTGGGGATGATCCAGGAAGCGTGCTTCGTATTATTGCACCTCGAGGGATCTACTGAGTGCGTTGTGGTTGAACGCAAGCTTATGGGCTCATTTTCTGCAGGAGGAAGAAGGCCATTAAGGAATTGCTGGCAAGAAACGCTGCCACTCTGGACGAATGGATGACTCGTGGGATCGTCGGCAGTTTGCGAATACCCATGGCCTGGGTTCAAGAAGCCAAAGCTTTGCATGCTTATGACTGCGGTCAGATCTTCGAAGCATTCGACCTATACTTGTCTGCGGGTCAAAACAACCAAGCCCACGAGATCGCCGTCACAAAGCTTGCTCCTGAAGCTATCATACGTCATGATTTGACATTGCTCACTGAGATCTTCAGTCGCTTCAATGGACGGGCTGTGGATGGATGGCATGTCCGGGGCAAGGTCAGTTTGCAATGACATGATGATATCACGACGTAATGATCCTTGCAGATTCTCCAGGACTATGCCCATGTACTCTCCAGACTCGGGAAACTCGATGAAGAGCTGGACCAGGGACGGAATCAGGATGAACGAGACCAGCTGGGTCGCACTGCGGCTCGGCTCATCAGCATCCTTCCTGATGTGCTTAGGAACCGCTCAGACGCAGTCCACAATGCTGCACTGGCCGATATGATTGGCAGGCTAGTCAAAGTAGTCGACAGGACACGCTCGTCGAATGCAACTGACATCCAGCCGACACATGTTGGGGAATCTGTCAAACTACAACATATCCAAGCCACAGTCTATGCCAGGTTTCTTAGCAGTATCGATAGCCCGTAACTGTTGATTTGTTGTATTGCTATCCGTGTTATCTAGTGGAGCGTGCTATCATGATCATCTTCCGCAGAGCATCTAATCTGGAGGTCGACACCGAGCTTCTGTTCTATGACCATGGCCTCCATGACTTCTTATCGTATGACTGCGTCTGAATTTCTTTCTTCGTCTTTGACCGTCGAGGAATATGCCCGGTCCCTCTTGGAAAGAGTCGCTGGCCGCGATAAAGATGTGGAAGCATGGGCTTATCTCAACGAGGAACATATCCTGCTTCAGGCGCGATCACTCGATGCGGTCCCCCTCGACCGGCGTGGGCCGCTGCACGGCGTGCCAATCGGCGTCAAAGACATCATGTATACCAAAGGCTCGTGTGGTCGTCTCAGGGCTATTCACCGGACACTAAGTGATAGACGCAGACATGCCCACCCAACACAACTCGCTTATTTACGCCAATGACGCGCCTGCCATCGATGCATCGCTGATCTCCGTGCTGCGTAACGCCGGTGCTCTCATCTTTGGTGTGTGCATGGCCGGATTGTATCTCGGGATGAAGTCCAGACAATTGACAGGGAAAACAACGACCACCGAGTTTGCTTGTGTAACCACAGGCACCAAAACGAAGAACGCGCACGATCCAGCACGGACTCCGGGTGGAAGCTCATCTGGATCGGGAGCCTCTGTGGGCGATTATCAGGTCCCATTAGCATTGGGAACGCAGACGATTGGCAGGTGTGTCGGCCTGTTCTCTTCCATGCCGTCGTTTGACGGGATGCACATTTGCCAGCATTATACGCCCAGCATCATTCAACGGTGTCTTTGGCTTCAAGCCCACTTTCGGTGCCATCTCCAGAGAGGGCGTCAAGTTCGGATCTCTCAATCTGGATACCGTCGGCTTCTTCTCTCGATCCGTGGCAGACCTCGAGCTCCTCGCTGACGTTTGCAAGATCTCGGACGACGAAAGCCCTGCATCCGAGTTCTTGCTTGCAGGATCGAAAATTGCCGTGTGTAAATCCCCGGTATGGACTGCTGCAGGTCCCGGTACCGTTAAGGCGCTCGCGCAGGGTGCCCAATTGCTGCGAGATCAAGGAGCCATTGTCGAGGAACTGACATTACCCGGAGAGTTTGACGAAGTGACGACCCTTCACCGTCGCATTTTCCAGCGCGACGCCGGAGTGGCTTACATGAATGAGCCTAAAGAGAAATTGGACCCACTCCTGGCTAGCTTTGTGGACGACATTCCGCGTCTCACAAACAGAGATTATCTCCAGGCCTTGGACACGCTCGCACAGCTTCGACCCAAGCTCGATGCGATCACGAGCCAATTCGATGCGATTTTGACGCCCTCGGCTGTCGACGAAGCACCGGAAGGCCTGGCAACGACCGGAGACCCTATCTTTTGTGGTTTGTGGACTGTGAGTAGAGTGCTTGTTCTGCACCTCCAATCTTGATTCATGTTAGGTCATGCACGCTCCTGTGGTAAATGTACCAGGCTTTTCCGGCGAAAATGGGATGCCCATCGGCCTTTCCCTTGTGTCGGGACGGTTTCAGGACAGACGTTTGCTCAAGGTAGCTGCGCCCGTGGCCACAGCCTTCGCTCCTGGCAACAGGCCCTTCCAGGGATCGGCAGATTCGCAACGTCCGATATCATAGATTAGCAGCTTCGCAACAGAGTCCGTGTTGCGGGGGTTGGCGGAAACCCAGATTTGATTCGCCTATTAGTGTTACCTAAGTAGTAAGTAGTCTTTGGATGGATGCGACGTTGCATTGATCGGGAGCGGCGTGATTCCCCGTGATTCTTGAACCTTACTTCACTCCCATCCGTCTCTCATGCCAGCACCAGATGCAAAAACTCGCACGAAGATCAGCCTGAGCCCTCGAATCTTTTCCACTTCGATTCCTACGAAACACGTCCCGCGCATACTGTTGTCCGCCCTATTCTACGCGACTTCTCTCCATGCCGGCAAAGGCGCACTAGACTTTGATGTTGGAGTCTTCTGGCTGGTCATGAGGGTTTTGGCATGCGCCGGGTTCGGTGCGTTGATATGGGAAGGCAGGACAGGGCAGTTAGCGAAGCGGAAATCGATTGAGGTCGGTGACAGAGAAAGGTTAGCCAGTGTGACTGGCTGATATATTGTCAATTACAGTGGTCTGTGTTGGGGACAGCTTCCCTGCTAGTCTTCGTTCAGCAAGGCTGTTTGTTTACAGCGCTGTATCGTCTTCCTTCTACCCGGTATGTCGCTACAGCGCCTTTGAATCAATGTTGTGTCTCATCCCGAATAGTGTGGTGTTATTCACTCATTTCTCAACGTCTTGGATTCAATCTCTCTGGAACTTCTCTGCGGTGGGCTTTCCCTGGACCTTCCCTGCGTCAATGGTGGCTAACCGACATCCAGCCACGGAAAGTCATGGCCATCTTGTTGGCTTGGTTCATATGCATCGTGTCCGATACAGGCCTTTCGTCTGCCGCCTTGCTGCGATTCCTTCCAGGATACGGCGCATTGTTCATGTACTCCCTGGCCTCAGCGGCCCTGGACACACCAGTGGGATCCTAGTGCCTTCTCTGGGGACAACGTTCACCATCGCAGCATCTGTCCTCGGTGCCTCCGTCTTCGCGTTGCCCTTTTATGTGTTCCGAACGTTCATAGTAAGTCTCAGCAACGTTTTCCTGGAATTTAATCTGACACTCTGTAGCTTAACTTTCCCGAAACACCTGTGGTCCCCCTCGCTTCGTTGGCCGCGATTCCATTCATAGCATTCTCTTTGTTGCTCTATGTCCCAATCACCTCCAAGTCCCTAAGCAACTTCTCGCTTGCCCCTCAGCATTTTACATTGTCTTATCCTAGCACTGTTATGATGACAGCGCTCTTGGGTTCGCTCGCATTCTCGCAGTTTCCGACTTGGACAGATGCGGCAGTCGCTGTCCTTCTCTTCTTGGGTTTGTTGCTTCGTCCACCGTGGCATTAGATGCCTGATAGTTCCACAGGGATGCAACCTGAGTCAGCCGACACATTCCCCGCTCCGTCGCGCACGCCGACGTCAAGGCTGATGCGCTCGTACTTCAAAACCATTCTATCGAATCCAGAATCCCGCAAGATTTTCTATTTCCTAGTCCTCAACATGGCATTCATGCTCGTTCAAATGCTGTACGGGGTGTGGACTAACAGCCTCGGACTTATATCGGATGGTGAGATCCACTCTGCTTGTTTTACCGGACCAGGATTTTGGACTCAGTTGCGTAACAGCGATTCATATGGCCTTTGACTGCATGGCCATTGGTGTTGGTCTCTTCGCGTCGATCATGGCTAAATGGGAACCGAACGAGCGCTTCACTTATGGGTATGGGCGAATCGAGACACTCTCCGGCTTTGCCAACGGGATTTTCTTGATCCTGATCTCGGTCTCATCATCTTCGAGGCGGTCCAGCGAATGTAAGTATATCTGACTACCTGCGTTGAATCTGAGTCAACATTGCATGCAGCTTGGAGCCACCAGAGATGAACACAAGCCAGTTATTGCTTGTGAGCTCTCTCGGACTAGCGGTCAATCTCTTGGAATGTTTGCCAGGGAGGACATCACCATGTTTGTCCATCTTTTCGCGCGGGTACTTTCATCTGATGGGTCGTCCGACAGGGGCACTCGCACTCTCATGGGCATGGGCATTCTCATGGTGAAAGCCACGGGTCTCACGACCATCAGATGTCTGCAAAGGACGGACATGCGGGCGGGCACTCTCACGAAGACCACGGCCATTCGCACGATAATCCGACGCACTCTCACACCGTCGGGCATCCGTCAGACGGTCATCAGCCCTCGCATGTAGGGAACGGACACTCGCACGGTCACTCGCATGAGCAAGAGCACTCGCATGAGAGCGGACATACGCATGAGAGCGGACACTCGCACGAGCAAGCTCATTCGCACTCGCACTCGCACGATGTTCAAGAAACTCGCATGAGCACTCGCATGGGCATTCGCATGCGCACTCTCATGCTAGTGGGAACGCTCATCAGGCCCACTCCCATTCACCGCCGACCTCTCCGACTCGCTCATGTCCATCCGCATCTACCGCCAAACGCCGAACAACACTCACATCCGGACTCTCATTCTGCTGTTGCATCGCACGACCGCAAGCGTCAGTTCAGTGGCACCCCACTGCACGTGCACTCGTCCATGCCGAATTCTCCCTTTGCAGCGGAGGCGTCAGCGACCCATCACCCCCAAATACCGATTCGGAGTCGATGAGCATTACCAGACCATCACGAAGACGAGCACCGACCCAATGTGCACAATCCCGCCCTCCCAGCTCTCATGAAGGTCATAGCCACAACATGCGTGGTGTGTTTTGCACGTGATGGCGGTGTGTCGCTTCCTATTCTGGAACGGCGTGAGCTGATGGATTCCAGGACACCTGGGTTCCGTCGGAGTCATTCTCTCTACACTGCTGATCCAGTTCTACGGCTGGACTGGATTTGATCCGATCGCGTCTTGTTTATCGCCGTGCGCTCGCTGCCAGTGTTTCCCATTGGTCATTGACAGGCGTGTTTTGTGCCTTGACATCACCGACCGCCAAGCCACGATAGACCAGGCTCTCTCTGAGGTATCATCTACCATTCTCCTATCCGGCCGTATCTGAACATTTCCATTCAGCTTCAGTCTATCGAAGGACTGGCTTCTTTCAATGCGCCTCGCTTTTGCCCAAAGATGATACATCATTGATCGGATCATTCACATCCGCGTGGCTCCGTCCGCTGCATCTTTCGACCCAGCAGGTCCCCATTCGAATCAACGCACAACTTATCACAAA